AGAGATCGAGAGGGATTCATCCTACAAGCCCGTATATTTCCCGTGCCCGCTCAAAACGGCTCATCAAAACCGGAAGCATATAAAGCATGATATGCGAGATGTTCTGGAAGAGACAAAGAGAAGGGAGAAGGGGGTGGTAGGCAAGAAGGCACAGAAAAGTACAGCAGACCATGTTCATCCTACAGTCAAGTCTGTCCCTTTGCATTTCCCCACCCGGGGGACGAGAAAGCCGACGGACAGACGAGACGCACGAGAGGCTACCACTTGAGAAGAGGGCAGGCAAAACAAAAGGATGAGGGAAGTGAGAACAAGCAGGCACCACAGTCTTCCTACAGTCAAGTCTGTCCCTTTACGCTTCTTCATCCCCAGAGATGTATAGCGCTCCCGGACAGACGAGACGCACGAGCTAGAGGTTTTTACATGAGAGGAGATATGACGAAGGGATTTAGGGGGGGGGGGGATAAGCAGATACCAAAGTCTTCCTACAGTCATGTCTGTCTCATTCATTTTTTCTCCACCCGAAAGTGCGAAAAAAAGGGAAAAGGACAGACGAGACGCACGAAGACAGTCTGTAGTTCACCTCATCCCATTGAAAGGGTCGAATGGACTAACAGACGAAGAGTACTTACCAGTCAGAGACAGCAGGGAAGAACGTCTTTGTGGAGGGGATGGGGATGTAGGTTGGAGGGGGAAAAAAAGAAAGGAAGTAAAGGCGGGGAGAAGAAATACAGTACTGGGTTATGTACATAGGGTCGCTGTGTGCCAAGCTTAGGGTTAAAATACAAGGTGCCTTACTTTCACGGTGAAGCCGGGTGGCCGGTAAGTGGTAGGGTCGCCCAAGTACTGTGTCTTCGTTCCCCACTTTTTTTCGTGTTCTACGCATTCGGGCTGTGGTGCACCTGTGACGTATACGTACTCCACATCGTCGCTGAATGAAAAGCTCTCATCTTATGAAGAAAGTCAGTCGTCTAGGGATTGACGAAATTAACACTATGTCATCTCCAAAGGCCCCAGATAGAAACACATTCAAGCAACATGTACCTCACGCCAAAAAGCCAGCAAGACACCCCAGATCGCGGGGGAGTAGTGGCCATGGTAATTCGAAGTAAATACTGGTTCTCATGATGCTATAATCAACGCCTTTAAACGGCCCAAAGTAGCTCGAGTTCCTACATTCTATCGTAGATACTTGAGCCCTGACGTTTGAAGTTGCAATTATCGTGTTTGGCAGATGCTTCGTACCGTAAAAGCCCGTGTACCCAGGGGTGCCGGAAAGTGATGCAACGTTCGACTTAGTAACGCCGAAAGGCACTCAGAATTTCAACACAATGCTTGAACAGGTTGGATATTTTAGTCATACGCATGATACATGAGTCTCTAGAATAGAGCTTGCATTCTTTTCAGGTCATTGATTTGGGGTTATTAGCCTGCAAAAGAACAACTTGTGACAAGAGACAGTAATAAAAGGAGAAGCATTAGCTATTGATATTAACTCTTACCAGAGCTATGATCTCCAGCTTCTAAATTATCATTGATTCGCTCTACATTCTGTTAGCTGGTTTGGTTGTTGAGAAATATGGACTATTTGATCGTTGCATCACTTTCCGGCACCCCCGGGTACATGTTTCTACCTCTGTGTCTAGCTATAAAGACACCTACTCCAGATCCCAAGCCCGAGCGAAAGAAGCTTCTGCACAAGGTACCATGACCCTGTGGACCGCGAGCAGCTACTTTATTCCCATATTCGAATTTGTACGCCAAACACCTATTACAGCTACAGGGCAGAACAATAAACACATAATATAACGCATTTACAGTGAGCTCTATGCGCTCGAGTCTGTAGAGTATTGAACTCGATCTGCCGATAAGGAGACAGGATAAAATACTCACAGAAAGGAAGCACGGAGCTCGTGTCGTTCGGGATCGAGGCAGGACCGAACCCATGACCTACAGATGGTCATGGTATTCTGACACTAGGTGTTCCTCGAGTCCAGAACGCGCTGTCTGCCACTAGACTAACACACACACATAATCTGCTAACGCTGGAAGTGATACTTCGAGGGTCGACTTGCTTGGTGTATGTGTGCAAGGGTTTTTTTTTCTCTCGATTTATTTCTCAGTACGATTTGTGAGGTTCCTCACAGTTATATTAGCAGATAGTCTATATACAGCAGGAGTGGGAATGATGGCGCATGAAGAAAAATTGCTGCTTGCGAACGCGTTGATGAATTGTGCTAGCCCGTCTATGTAGTAGAACCAATAAGGCGAATCGAAACCCTACGGAAATTAAATCATAACTGAGAAAGCGTACGCTCCGCACCCAAAGATCTCCCAATGTGACATGATAACCAGCAGAGAAAACCAAGTTCCTACATTCAAACCTGTTCACCCTGTTACCGGACCCCAACTCCAATGGAAGAAGCCGGATAACAATGTAAACAAGAAAGGAGCACGAACAGGCACGTATCTATACTTACACCTACATTCGAGTCTGTTATAATAATACCGGCGTATGCCAAGCAAGTGCTGGATCATATAACAGAAAGGAAGCACGAACAAGTATCGACCTATGCCTTCCTTACCACATTGGAAAAAGATATCCCTCCTTGGAGTTAAATCATTTGATGGTACAGAAAGGAACCGGGATGATGGAGAGAGACGACGGGGAAACCGCGGGGCCGGGGTAGACGTTTTATGGTGCCGCCGGGAAAGCCAATCCCGGTACGTTAGGGCTAGGGCATGGGGATGGTTAGTACAGAAAAGCTCGCAAAAGACAAGTTCGCCCTCCCCCCGACGGCTGCTAGCCAGTGTAGTCCACGAGGACGAGCGCCCATGTGTCCCTGCCTCGAGGATATGCCCTCGATGACAAACGAGGGCAGTGGTCAAAAGGACAAGGAACCTCGAGGACAATATCTGTCCTTGCCTCGAGGAATTCCAAGGACAATTCTTGGCTATAATAAACACTTAATATGCCCTAATGGAATGAGGTCATTAATAAAATATACCTTTCATTTTAAGATTTTGCTCTACCGGGTCGTTTTTTATAGTCCTCGAGGCTCCTCGAGGTACCTCGAGGACAACAGTGCCGGACCTCGAGGACAGACAAGGGCAGAGGTCAACGAGGACGGGGTACCTCGAGGATGTCCTCAAGCCTCACATTGCCTTAGGCACCCGCCTAACTAAGGTTTATGGAGCATTGATATAAGTCTTAATTAAAACAATCTTTCAAAGGTAAAAGGTGCCACGAGGACGATTATCCATCTCGCTTTAGACCTGCGAACATACTGTCAGCGTGCCACGAATTAGCAAAGAGTAAAGAGTTGGTTTAAAAGGCAACGTATAGGACTCGTACGTCTTGTTTCAAGTCCTGTTCTAATACCACAGTGGCGAAGACAAACAAAAGAAAAACAAATCGTGTTCTTTCCGACCTTTTCGATTCAGGCCAGGCTCTCTATCTCCGCTCTAAACAAACACCAAAAACGTCTAATGAAGTCCGCGACAGCCTGCTGCATGAGAGCATAACAGCGGATGCACATTTTCCTACTCTCAGTTTTTGCGACTCTTATCCCTTCCGCCACAGCAGAAGCGCAGAAGCATTGCATAATTGAAGCAAGAACAGCCCATCTATCACGTTCATATAGAGATCTATCTACATTACATACCCTCAAACTTATCTCATCTCTACACGCGCCCAATTCTCGTGACAATCCGCAGGAAACGTGCGAGGAAAAGAATGCTAATCACAAGCGCGCCCAAAGCCTACCGCGTTCAAGAGCACGATCGAGAGCATCCATCTCCCTAATCCAAGTCTGTCCATCCCTTCAACCAAGGTCTAGCCGACAAACCGAACCGAAGTGCCCACAATGGACAGAAAAGCAGCACGAAGTGGCCAGATCAAGCCTCGGAGTCTAAAAGTCTCTTCCCATCGGCTAAGCCCTCCAGATCCATCTGCCAGCACTAAATTCTGTCTCAAATCTGTACATTTCACCGCTGAGAATGAAACTTGCACTCATGAGACAGAGAAGAGGCTCGCGATGCTTTGGGCTGTGCTGAGGTGTAGAGGGTAGCGAGGGTGGAGAGAGTTAAGCGGACGGGAGCGGTGGTTTTATAGTCGTTAGCGTGGTATGGATGGAAAGGGTTTGCCCTAGTGCGCATATGTAGAGCGGGTCGCGATATATAATTGGGTTTGTGCCGTGACGGGGCGCTCTACGTTCGGATCCCAGGTATCGCAAGGGGTCAGCCGCTGTTTGGGCCGACCCGGGCCGTATTGCGGGGTATACTAGGCCGAAGCCTCGATTTCTAAGACCTACTTGGGCCGGTACCGTAAGATATTATACTAGGTTATCCTCTAGCGGGTGCACATATCTTTTTTTAGCATTGAATCTGGCCGGATTTTTGGTCGAGTGATAGTTCATGAACTTCGGCACCATTCTAGTTCCAACCTAACCTCCTGTACCCGTATTAACTATAGCAAGTGACTTGGTGCAAGATTCTTTCTAGTAATCGATGGTGGGCTTTTTGAGATATTGGATTAGGATTCTGGTATGTACGTCTTTTTGGCATTTATATGTGATCATGAATAATCACTCGACCTTCCAAGAAATTGTTTGCGCGTTTCTCGGGGATTCGATGCTGATGTTTGTGTGTTTGCTATGCCGTGGAGTCACCTGGAGAGCCAAATGTTTGCTTGTTTGCTTGTTTGCCTGATAATAACCTCGCCGGAAGATTCTAGGGCGGTGTTAACTCGTTTCTTTCAGGTTCTGTGTTAGTGTTTGTATGTTTGCAACTCCGGTGGAATGAACTAGACGCTAGATTGTTTGCTTGTTTACGCATCTAGGCCTTTCCAGAGGGTTCTAATGCACTGTTTTCTCGTTTCCAAAGTATTCCATGTCTATGTTTGCGTGTTTGCTACCTCGGTGGAATCCTCTAGACTCGAGAATGTTTGCTTATCGGCGCATCTAGGCCGAGGAAAACAACACTATTTGACGGTCTAGGCCTTCATGGAAGATTCCATCGCAGTGTTTGCCCCCTTCCCTAACCTTCTACCCTCATCTCCACACCACTAGAAGTTTCTGAAAGTAAACAAGCAAATAACCCCAGACCCTGAGCCCTAATTCGGAGGAATTAAATTTCCGGATTTATAGGTAGTATATATACAGCCCTTTCCCTCCTCTTCCTCTTCACTTCACCGGCCAGCAAGAGGTTTTCTAACCTACACCTTACTAGGTGCTTCATCCTTCGACATTGGGAACTGAGAGAGAGGTAAGTTCTTAGATCTAAAGGTACTTGGGACTGGTTTGCTAACATTTATCTAGATCTTGTCTAGCTCGACCTGCACCCGGCGGGGGGTAGGCTTTCCAATATCGCTCGCTCGACCGGCACCTCGAAAAGGCAGGCTTTCTTTACTACCTATTTCCTAGAACTCTTGCTCGACCGGCACCTATCAAGGGCAGGCGTTCTTTCTTAGAACTCTCCATCTTCCTAGAACTCTCTTTCCTAGAACTCTTCCTCGGCCGGGGCCATTAAAAAAAGGCAGGCTTTACTTTCTCTACTAATTTCTTAATATATGCTCGACCGGCACCCATAAAAAGGCAGGCTTTACTTTCTCAACCAAGTTCTTAATATATTTGCTCGACCAGCACCTTAAAAGACAGGTTTTCTCTACTGCCCTATTTTCTAGAACTCCCGCTCGACCGGCACCTATCAATGGCAGGCTTTCTTTCTTTCTTTTCCTAGAACTCTCCACTTTCCTAGAACTCCCTTTCCTAGAACTCCTGCTCGACCGGCACCTATAAAAAGGTAGGCTTTCTTTATTCCTATTTCTAATAGTTCTAGCTCGACCGGCGCCTATAAGAAGGCAGACTTTACTTTCTCTACTAATTTCTTTATATATCTGCTCGACCGGTGCCCCAAAAAGGCAGGCTTTTTTTACTGTCCTATTTCCTAAACCTCCAGCTCGACCGGTGCCTATCAAAGGCAGGCTTCCTTTCTTTCCTAGAACTCTGCTATTCCTAGAATTATTCTCCTTCCTGGTCCCAGCTCGACCGGCACCCCGAAAGGGTAGGCTTCCTTTATTCTCATATTTCCTCGAACTCTCATCCTTTTCTAGAACTCTTTCTTAGAACTCTTCCTCGACCGGGACCTATCAAAAGGCAGGCTTTACTTTCTCCACTAATTTCTTTATTAATATATTTGCTCGACCGGCACCCAGACTAAAGGGTAGGCTTTCTTTACTGTCCTAGTTCCTATAGTTCCAGCTCGACCGGCGCTATAAAAAAGGCAGGCTTTCCTTCTTTCCTAAAACTCTCGTCTCCCCTAGAACTTCAGCTTGACCGGAATCTTTCAAAGATAGGCTTCATTTTCTCTAATTCTTAATATATCTACTCGACCAAGGGATGCTCTCATTACTATCCTCACTTCTAGTACTCTGATACCTTTCTAGAACTCTCATACCTTCTAGAACTCTCCTATTTCCTAGAACACTTGCTCGACCGGCGCCTATAAAACGGTAGGCGCTCTTTAGCCTCCTCTTTCCTAGAATTCTTCTTTTCCCTAGAACTATCGTTTTCCTTAGAACTCTCTTTTTCCTAGAGCTCCAGCTCGACCGGCACTAATAAAAAAGCAGGCTTTCCTTACTCTCCTAGTTCCTACAGCTCAGTTCAAGCTCGACCGGCACCTATCGAAGGCAGGCTTTCTATCTTTCCTAGAACTCTCCTCTTTCCTTCGAACTATCCTATTTCCTAGAACTCTTGCTCGACCGGCACCTCAAAAAGGCAGGCTTTACTTTCTCCACTAATTTCTTAATAGATCTCCTCGACCGGCACCTATCAAAAGGTAGGCTTTCCTTATTCTCCACTAATTTCCTAATATTCTCGCCCGACCAGTGCCATTCTGGGTAGGCTTCCTTTCCCCCTGATCCCTATTCCCTAATATCAGCTCGACCAGCACCTAAGAAGGTAGGCTTTATTTTCTCCAGTATTTTCCAATGCATCTGCTCGACCAGCACCTTGACAGGTAGGCTTCCTTTCCCTCTCATTTCTTTCTAAATCAGCTCGACCGGCATCTAAAAAGGCAGTCTTTCTTTTCTCCACTAATTTCTTAATACATCTGTTCGACCGGCGTCTCCAGAGGTAGGCTTTTCTTATCTTTTCCTAGCTCGACCGGCGCCCTCCTAGGGCAGGCTTCACTTCTCATTTCATTTTCAATATATATCTGCTCGACCTGCACTTCAAAAAGGCAGGTTTCTTTCCTTCACTAACTTATTAATACATCTAGATTTGCTCGACCGGCACCTTCCGAGGTAGGCTTTTTTCTCCTTTGATTTTCAATATATCTGCTCGACCGGCACCTTTCAAGGGTAGGCTTCCCTATTCTCTCATTTCTTTTTAAATTAGCTCGACGGCACTCTAAAAAGGTAGGCTTCCCTTTTTCCACTAATTCCCTAAGACATCTGCTCGACCGGCACCTTCAGAGGTAGGCTTTCTTTATCTTTTTCTAGCTCGACCGGCATCTCAAAAAGACAGGCTTTCATTTCTCCACTAGTTTTTCAAAAGATCTGCTCGACCGGTACCTTCAAAGGCAGGCTCTCTTTAGTATTCGCTCGACCGGCGCCTTCCGCGGTAGGCTTTAATTTAAGCTCACTATATCTCTTAAGACATCTGCTCGACCGGCACCTTCACAGGTAGGCTTTCCTTTGGTTTATGTCTAGCTCGACAGGCGGCCTCTAAGATCAGGCTTCACGTTCTCTTCTAATTTTCTGAATTTTCTATTTTAGCTCGACCGGCATCTTCCTGGGTAGGCTTTCCTTTCGCCGTTCTTATTTCAATATCTTTTTCCGCTCGACCGGTGCCCTCCCAGTGCAGGCTTTCTTCTGATACTTCTAGCTTCTAGTCCTCTTTCTTCTGCTCGACCGGTGCCCTAAATAGGCAGTCTTTACTTTCATCTCAATCTTTCTTAATCTATATATTTGCTCGACTGACACCCCGGGTAGGCATTTCTTTTTTCCTTTATTATTTCAATATCTCTTTCTGCTCGACCAGCACCCTTCTGGGTAGGCTTCAATTCTCAGAACTCCCTGCTCGACCAGCATCTTCAGAACTAGGGTTCCCTTCAGCCTTAAGTTATGCTCGGCCGGCGGCCTCCAAGGTCAGGCTTTACTTTCTCTTCTCATTTCCTGAATGTTCCATTTTTGCTCGGCCGGCACCCTTCCAAGGCAGGCTTTACATTTCCGTTCAGCTTTCTCTGCTCAACTGGAACCTCTTGGGTAGGCTTTCTTTTCCCTCCGTTTTTTCAATATATCTGCTCGACCGGCACCCTCTGAAGGCGGGCTTCTTTTTCTCTCCTTAGTTTTTTCAATATGATGCTCGACCGGTACCCTCCTGGTAGGCTCTCCTTAGCCTTAGTGTTTTGCTCGGCCGGCGTCTTAAAAAAGGCAGGCTTTACTTTCTCTTCAATATTTCTTATTAAATCTGCTCCGCCGGCACCCTCCAAAGTCAGCCTTTAATCTCTTCCTCCTCTAATATCTAATTTCCTAATATCCCCGCTCGACCGGCGCTTTAATAAGGCAGGCTTCGCTTTCTAGTCTCATGTCTCAAATTAGTTACCTGATCTGCACCTTTACAGGTAGACTTTTTTTACCTTCCGCTTTCAGAGGTATGCTTCACTTTCAGCTCAATATTTCATAATCATGCTCGACCAGCATATTCAAAGATAAGCTTTCTTTACTCTTAATCCTTGCTCGACCGGCATTCTTCCAGGACAGGCTTCACTTCCTCTTCTAATGTCTTCAATATTCTCTTTTTTATCCACCGGCTGCTCTAGAGGTAGGATTTCTTTATTATTCGATCGACCGGCACCTTCCTGGGTAGGCTTTCTTTCAAGATTTCATATACTCTTCTTTCTTCATCTCGACCGGAATCCTCAGGGATAGGCTTCACTTTCTCCTTTAACCTCTCAAAATATCTACTCGATCGGTAGATTAACTAGTAGGCTGCGTTAATAACTCTGTTCTCTTTGCTTGACCGTTTCTCTGATCGGGGAGCTTTACTCTCATCTTTATTATTTCAACAGTCATACTCGACAGGGATCTCCCAGGTCAATTGCTCCTCTAATCTCTTAACATATCTGCTCGACCGGCACATTCATTGATAGTCTTTCCTTTTCCTTTTTTTCTTTTTTTTTCTTTTGTTCGACCAGCACCCTCCTAAAGAAGCTTCACTTACCCCCTTGTAAGCTTTACTTTGTCCTCAATATTTCTTAATATCTCTGCTCAACCAGCGTTACAAGATAGGCTTCATCTTCTCTCCAATAACCCTCCAAGGGCAGGCTTCCATCCTTTGATTTCTTACTTCTTAATATCTCTGTCCATCAGCGTTTTACGTCTCATAATTATAAGATTTCCTATGTAAATAAAAAATAAACTTCAGTTGATAGGAAATCCTAACGGTCAATCGTCATTATCTTCTCACCTAAAAAATTTCAGAACCATTTCAAGCCATTCTCGTCATAAGCTCGTAGACTCTCCAAAGCCATAGCTAGTCATCTAAGCGTAATCTCCTTTCGTATTAAGTATTATTTTTCTTGATCAAGCTATATTTAAAAACAGCCTAAGTGTAGTGGGGTTGATTCCGTTTTAAGCTTCATCTAAGTATGCCTCTAATCATTGCTGTTCCAAACTAGCTAGCCCCGTTAGGCATGACGTAGTGTAGCTGTGGTACTTTATTCGTGATCAGTGCTTTTGCGCCAGCGCGCTCGTAAAACCTGTATGTAAGGCTTTTTACCTACATGTTCGCTTTCTGCTCAAATCGTACTGGTAAAATGAGTGAAGTTGGGCGTTAGTTTTGAAAGATATTTATCCATCTAAATACCCGTACCAGCACTTACTTCCCTACCATACCACAACTCCCACCTCTATCTCCCTACTTCAAGTATGTATCCCTTCAGACCAATCGCACAGCACAACAAAGGTATGCTGGAGGCCTTAGCAGGAAACACAAAGAACGCACGGAAGTGGAGACTTCCTGAGCCCGAGTCTATCTCGCTCATGTGATTGGCTAGATGGGAGTCCAGGAGTCAATGGAGAGAGATAGAAGGAGACATGAAGATGAGGTTTGGAGGTAGAGATGGAGTGGGGATGGATGAGATGCAGTGGGGTGTGGTGGGCGGGTTTAGAGCTGTAGGTAGGGTTGGTTAGGGTGTGCCAAGGTTTGGCTCGGTGGTATCTAGCGGTGACGGGAGGAGGGCAGATGCTACTCTCGTACCCATCCCCTACTTAGCAGCAAGCTGCTCACACCATTACATAATGGGAGCAGGGGGGCTGGGGTCTGATCCACTAGCTTCTGGCCAGTCTCGCTCACCCCAATCCTTCCGCCAACACACTCCCGGCCAACCTCCAACCTTCTGAACCTCTTACCAAAATTCCCCATCATCCCTCAACTGACCCTATCTTCCACCCTTCGCATCTCTAAAGTATCCACCCGTTTCTATCCTAGCGGCGGATTCTGGTTGATGATTAATGAGCGACCAAGTCCGGATAATTGACTGGCTAGTATCCGCACGATGGAACAATAAATGCCCGGCCCACCAACATCTACCATCCGCACGTAAGTGACCGAGCTAAGGCCTCCGAATAATACACCAGAAGCAGCCCTCAAGTCCTCGACATCGTTGAAGGCGAAGAGAGATAAAACGATAGCTATTTGAGGCCACAGATGAGATAAATCCAGATGGAATCACTACCATCCCACTCCGGCTGCCGGCAAAGAAGTAATCGAGTGATAGTTTATGAAGAGTCCTAAGGGCGTCATCAGATTTGCTAAGAGATTTAATGCAAGCATGGAGAAGGAATGTTTTTCAGAATTTTGGCAAGAAAGAGCACAGGGAAATAACAATCTCCCATGAAGAGGCTAGGAAACATAAAAAGCAAGGAGATAAAGCCGCAGCCGAGATCTACGGATGCGCATAAAGGAGTGGCAGAGGGAAAAGCTATTCTCATAACCGGGCAAGTAATTGGAAAGGAAACGAAGCCATCCTGTTACTCATTGAGTGTGTAGAACGGGAATAACCCTCTCAAGAAACTAGTGCGTAGAAGAAAACCAGCAGTAAGACAAATCCCCACTCCCCGCGCAGACTTCAACACAGGTATGAAGAGATAACAACGAATAATAGTGAGCCGGCTGGACATATGATTACCACTACTTGGAAAAATATCTTTGCCTCAATCTGGGAACGTGACGGGGGGCTAGGAGGGTACACCAGAGTTTTCAGTCGAGGCAAGTAGAAAGAAATTGAAACATTGGCTGCGGGTACGCTTTAAAAGGTAGCTTCGGTGGGTACATAGAGCGGTTTTCCTTATCTTTGTTACCTGCAGTTATGCAGTTATGCAGTATTATCTCCGGAGCGCAACATAGAAAGATCCTTTTCAATGACGAGGAGGGATGCTGCACCTCTTGTAGGCTAGTGACGCGTAATCGAAGTCGTTCAGGCTGACCAACCGGGGTGATTTACTCATAGGCGGAGCCTGTCCTACATCCTATCTCGCATCGGATTGTTCAAAGGGCTCTGGGCCAAGATGTACGTCTGCCGATATTCGGGGTCAACGGGCATTATTCCTATGAGTGATCTCATACCAGCAGTCTTTAATCTCGCAGGATAGTGCTCTTACGATGGACCTACAATTAAGAAGACAGTGAGGGGACGGAAAGGGGCATTCAAGACCGTTCTTGAAGGGCGGAAGACACTCTATGAGATTGGGGGGGGGGGGCACTACATTAGTACATGTACTCGCCGAAGTGACAGACAAAGACGTAGTATCTCGCTACACACGTGTACCTACATTTATCTACGAAAACATTCATCGTGAAGAAACAACGATGACCCTATATACAAATCTGTAAATACAAACTGTCACAAGGGATTCATCCCATCTGTAACAACCTGTATTGATAGAAAAGTAGCACGGTCACTAGATTGCCCCGCCTTTACATGTCCTTACCTACACTCACTTCTGCTCTGGGAAGGAGTTATGAGGATGAAGGAGGGTGGGGAAGAAGTGGGGAAGGAGCGCGGAAGAGAACAACCTATAGCAAAGATTCAGGCTTGGCACGGGTGGGGAGATAGCTAGGGCTAATTAAGGACGAGCCACCGAGTAGCGGTATCTGGGGATCATCTTCGATAAGGATTTGAGAGTACGGGTAGTCCCGGTTCGATCCGTCCCGCCTTGTTGTGCCGCGTATCTCGGCTTTACGCTGCCGGCTTATTACGAACCGACGTGGACTACCACTCATACGGTCAGAGGTTCAATTTACCTATAGGACGGGTTCAGATTAATTTTAGTTGCGGTGTCTCGCTCTATTGTATCCCTTGAACGATAGTAAGTCATGCTAGTATGTATCGAGTGATAAGTTATGACTCATGCTTCCGGCGACAAGGTACCCACTCTGAGACCCAATTACAAATGCTGCCTCCAACACATCAAGCTTCCTCTCGTTGATAATGAACAGATAAACCCCCAGACTGCTTTATGATATATTTCAGCCGGCAATACGTCCAAATTACTTCCTCGCTGCACTAGATGAGACTACGTTCGACGAGTGATAAACTATGACGCTGTCGAAATTCTCCGACAAAAAATGTCGACTATCTGTGGCCGCTACAAGTATCAGTCTTCGCGACATGTATGCTCTAGTGATAATCTGGTAGACTCCGGGACTAGAGAGGAAAGGTCCATATGAGCCCTCCGCACTACCCCACGGATAAGAGCTCGCCACCTCAGAAATTGAACCTCCCAGGCAAGTGCCAGTATGTGACAAGCATGGAAAGACATTTAAAAATCAATTGCCAACTGTCCAGAAAGAGGGGTTACTCTCACGGTGATCTTATTTGAGCAATGTTATCTTTTTGTTAGAAACTCCTCCCCGTTTACGTACTCATCACTCATGAGATAGCCCAGAACAGATCATCGTTAAGGCGGTCCCCGCCCATAGAGACAACGAAGCCAATTCTGAAAGGAAAACGACCACATTTCTGATGGTGCGCAAGAGTTGATTAATCCGACAGATATCTAGAAACTATTAACAGCAAATCTACCACAGCTAGGGGAGGTAAGTCTAATATCAGGACCGACGCCCAAACAATATCGAGAAAGCCCCATTGGCGATAGGAAATAACCGCAAGAGAGGCCACAATGTGACCTTAAACACCGCATGCATCGATCCCCCAGAGAAAAAATAAGACAAGCGAGTAATCTTCCTACATTCAAGTTATTTCTCCTCCCTATCCTATCATCGCAGCGGATTGCAAGAAGATCGCAGAAACAAGAAGAAGCACGAAAAGACTCGTTTGCCTGTATTCGAAGTTTTTATGGACGAACAGAGGGACGGTGTGAGGCAGTTTTCTGGCCAGACTTCTCGGATAGATGCATGACTACCAATACAGAACGTAGCAGAAGCCATCATGATGAACATAGCCGTAATCCTTAACAAACCCACGCAAGAAAGAGAAAAAGCAAGCGACAACATCTTCCTACATCCAAGTTTATATCGGCTCCTGAGCATCTTAGGGATATACAGTATCCAAGCCAAAAAAGAAGTAAGAAACTTTCTCACTTACCTGTCCTCCGAACTACCCACGCAAGGAGCAGATAACCTCATTGATAAAAAATAGGGACAGATGCACCAACGTGCATAACTCATCTACCTACATTCAAGTCTGTTTTCAGCTACTCATCTCGGAAAAGGCGAGAACCGGAAACAAAAAAGAAACACGGATCACCACATTCTTCACCACCATGAGACTTTATCGCCCTACGTTCAAGTCTGTATGACCCTCCTCTATACCCAATGATAGCAGAATGCCATACAAAAAAGAAGCACGGAAAACTCATCTCAGCTCCTTAAGTTCAAGTTTGTCTCAGCCTTCAGTCACCGCCGACTAGCAGCTGGACATCTAAGCGAAGACAAAAAAGAACCATGGAGTGTTTTTTGGTCCCACTTACTCATCGCCGTTGAACAATGTTCCGGAGAGAGGGGCAAAGCCAAACAAAAGCACGGAGGACTCATCTCCCTACACTCCATTTGGTTCAGCCTTCTCCGTCGCCATTGAGAGATGCGAGTGGAGATGGGCCAGACCAAAAAGAAGCACAGAGATCCTATATCACTGGATCCAACTCATTGGTATGCAGTCATGGTAACCGGACTGTGGGAGTTTCCTCGAAAAAGAAAAAGAAATGCTGATCCAGGCAAGAGATGGGTGAGTAGAAGTAAGCACTCTGCCAATGACACATGAAGAGAGGGAAAAGACGGGGGGCTGGGAAAATAAACAATTTATATAGCGAGAACGCTAAGCTTGAGAGGGTGTGGGGTACCGGTGGTCAGCGCCAGGGCATTGAGTGCGCGGCGTCTTTTTCTTCATCTGTGTGGGTGAGTGTTACCCGCTACATTGTATTCCCCGGCTGTGAGCCCCCAGCCAGCCAGGCAAGTTAAATCATAGGCAGCAAGAAGAAATGTCCTCCTCCGGCTCTTCCCGAGCTATACATTCGAAACCGATGCGCTGAACAGTCATCTTCTCCCACTGGCACGAATACCTAGAACCACCGGTGAATTCAAGAAGTTCGCCGGGTATAAAGAACTGATGTAACTCATGCCTCACGTATAAGCTACTACTAGATCCGGCGGCCATGAAGGCTTCCCAGTCTTCTTCACACGTCCATTTTCCCTGCCTATGTATGTACACCCGCAGGAAAAAAGTGAGGAAACGAGTGCAACCAATCCGAACCCCAATGAAAAAGTGAAAATGGAAATGAATAGAAGTAATATGACTACACAATGAGATACAGAATAGATACTACGGCCTCTGAACTATATTTACCACTTTTTATGACTTCCCTTGCTCTTTACTACTGCTGCAATTCTCTTTGGTATGCTGTCAATGATTTTATATACATTTTCCCAATCTAGCCTTTCCCACTCTTCCCTAGCTTGGGCTTCAATAACTTTTATGTTTTCATTCAGAGTAGCCTCTCTTCGCTTTCCGGACTTGTCAAAAGGCATGGCTAGGAAATACTCATAGGGCTGTATTGCGGGTGCGGGGATGTCAAGTTAGATGTACTCGTTGTCACGCTACTCGTTGTTTCCTTACTTTTTTCCTGCGGGTGTACAGTATGGTGACATAAATCATCGTCACGAAGTAAAATCACACCAAAATCAGCTCTCCCCAAATAGCCCTAGAACCCACCACTTTAAGATATAACTTATACCAATTAGTAAAATTCATCTTAATGATTAGGAGAATCAGAAAACCTTTAACTCCAAAAATAATCATTGTAGCAATATTGTTGGTAGAGCATTTTGTTCGGTTGTTCTCAGAAAATGTGCCAAGACCACGAATTTTTAAATTCAAACCACGTAACTTCCGACACATTTGATGAACAGACTTATATTTTGAAACATGTGTTATCTCACAGTGTATCTCCATATACTGAAAGTTTTGTGGTAATTGATAAAGAATTGAAGGTTCGGGAGGTTGCCCATTTTGGCACTATACGTACCGAGTGTGGTATGATTGATACTTCTACCTTTTCGCCCAGCGGAGCCATCATATCGCGCCCAAAAGCACCCTCTCGCGGATGTGTAGAGCCGGACCTATAAGGATAGTTAGAGGGCTTGGAAGGATGCCCGGCAGGTCGATGCCGCGTCTGTTAACTTCTTTTCGTCCTCTACGAGAGGTAAATTCGCTTCTATTGTTGCGGAATGTAGCGAGTGCGGGATCTATAACTTAGTATCATACCAGTGCAGACAGCTTTGACGCACAATGGTTGTTGGTGGAGTAAGAGGGAGATTGTGGGGGGGGGGTTTGCGGATGGGATGGGATGGGATTAGGGAGGCTGATCGTCAGTGGGGTTTTCCCACATTATCCCGCCATCGCCTGTGCCGTGCGACTTTTATGAATCGCTTACTGGTACGAGACTAGGCTCGTCCCCAACCCCCCCGCTTCCTACTGGCGAGAGCAGCTTGCTGCTAAGTAGGGGATGGGTACGAGACTAGTACGAGACCGATGGTCGTAGTTTAGGATGGTGGATGCCGGTTTCTCTGATGGGCTGGACGGGGTAGTGGACTTTCGGAAGTCACATATGACGGCTGGCTATCACTCAATCTCGGGTAGACAGTAGTAGCCGGAGATATACGGCCAGTTATTTTCCCGCCTGTAGACGATATATAGCGGGAGCCTCTAAACCGGTCCGCATCCAGAGTACTAGTAATCGTATAGCGCGCAGGCCGGACGTGTGCTAACAAGTACACGAAGGCGCGAGAACCTTTGTCACCTTACAAGCATTCTCCGTGATTTGGCGTTCACCTAGTGAAGAATATCAGAACTCTAACCTGGACGCTATGTCTACATCGCGAACTATTATTCGAGTGATAGCCTATGATTTTATGAATCATGGTAAGTCACTCGATGCGCTAAATCAAATGGGAGCCGGAGTGCAGCCTTAGATTGAATTCAGGCGTGAGCATTCAACCACATTTATTTAAATTCTTATGATCGATGGAGTGTTGTTGGATAGAATTACGAGAACCGGCCGGACGAGCCAGGAGCTTAAGGTTTTTGACTTTGGTAGTGTGCCTTAAGTTTCTCACTGAGCACAGGGCCCCACTCCACGGTTCTGCAACGTATTCTATCCCGGAACACCACCTATGCCTTCCCACCCTGCAGTGACGTAGCCCTACTCTCGATAAACTACATGTAGTCACACTCCATCCAAACCTTGATATCCCGCCCGCACCACGCTTCTATCAAGCCCGGTTAGCTCAGTGGTAGAGCATGTGACTTTTACGCTGTATGCTTCAGTATGTAGTGTGGCAATCACAGGGTCGCGGGTTCGACTCCTGCATTGGGCTCTTTGCCATACTCCTGGGTGTTCTTCAGAATATCTAGGTTTCTGGCTTTTATTTTTATTTTATTTTTTTCTAGTCGAGTCCTTGTTGGGTGGGCTTATTGAGTTTGTGCATCTAGCTGATATTAAATGTATCATATCATTGCGATTGATATTTCCAGTATTTGACGCTTCGAGTTGCATCCAACACGATACATATGTAATCCTCCGAATCCGCTCCCCAAAAGACCACTACCCTTACCGCAGTGAATTATGAGCCAGTTAAAACACTATTATCCTATTCCATTCAATGAACAGGATTTGACACCTAACGTTATATGGTGCGCCCACGAATAAAGGTGACAAAAGATCTAGATGACAAGTCAGGTTTGGTGGGTGGAACAGGCTTGGCAGTAGGGTAACTGCAACCTCACCACACCTCAACTACACCTTTACGCACCCAAAGCTGGTAGGCAACAACACAACCAGTTTTCAAGAGTTAAATTCGTAATTTTGGGAGGTTATCCAGCTAGATACTGTGAAAAGGACTTGTCTTAATCTTGAAAACTCATAGAGTTATGGTGCATAAACCAAGGGGACAATAATGTTGCATCCCTATCATTCCCAGCCCCATAGCAACCACCCACACCAAATAATTTTGAGCACAACAACCACACAAGATATTATTCTCCCCTTCGGGAATATAGTAAATAAGATGTAGCTTAACAATATAGAACCCTGAAAATAATTTTAAATTAAATAGATAATGATTTATAGTCTTTTTAACAATGAAAATGCAAATCCTATCCCTATTTGCGCATGTAAAAATTCATTTTAAATTTTCTATATACTTTTAGGCTAATCGACTATTACCTCCCAAAATTACGAATTTAACTCTTGAAAACTGGTTGTGTTGTTGCCTACCAGCTTTGGGTGCATAAAAGTGTAGTTGAGGTATGGTGTGGTGAGGCTGAGGTTGCAGTTACACTACTGCCAAGCCTGTTCCACTTTGTGATTGCTTGGCGCATTTTACATACTAAAATACCGAATTTCAAGCTTGAATAACTTTTTAACCAGGAGAGATATCAAAAATCTGGTTGGTAAAATTCTTCTTCATCACTAGTACTTCAATTTTACCAACCGGATTTTTCATAATTTGTTTCGTTGGAAAGTTATTCAACCTCAACCTTGCCCCAATTTTTTGACTACCTTTATGATTGGGCGCACCATAGTTACCAGTTAGACATTGAACCTGAAAAACATAATTCAGAACATCTCTTGGGACCGATAAGAAATTTAGCACGGAAACTCTAGTAACGGTGACCGTGCTAGTCGTATGCAATTAATGAATTAAAAAAAAACCCCGTGCGGGTCGTTCATGGGATATCACTCGATTAGTGGGTTAGGGTTCGATGTGTTCTTAGTCCAGTATTCTTTTTTTTTCTTTCTTTGTTTAATTCATTAATTGTATGCAGACCGTAGTCTATGACAATATCACACTGCCCCAGAACTTCCCAATCTCTTCCTCCGCCTCTCAAACATTTTTAAGAAAAGAAAATAAGAAATAATAGGCGAGTAGCCTATAACAAATGAAAGTCGTCGTAGTAGCTTATGAATGTAAGAAATAGTGACTTATGAAAATAAGAAATAGTGCCTTATGAAAATAAGAAATAGTAACTTCTTCTTAGTCCAGTATGAGTATAGGGCGGCGTTAGACGATGGTCTAGAAGAGTGTCGATAGTGAACTTTTATTTTGATGGTGCTCGTAACTATCTAGAGGATGAGAATTCTTGCGCTCGTTACATTCAACTACGAAAGTACTGGTTTTTGTTTATTTTTTTAGGGGGTCCTACCTTAATATTTCCCCACTAGTAAAAGAAAAAAGGTGAAATTTTTCGAGACAAATCACATCCCACGCGAAGACTGGTTTAGCCAGCGTTAACTGAGTTGAGAGCTGCTTGTGGAAAGATTTAATCACACTAAACCCGATACATACTTTTTAGTTGCAATATGATCTTAGAGTTCCACACCTTTTCCAGTGAGATATTTGGCCAGCAAATAACAATTGTCAATTGATACTACGTTTTTATATGCGTTTTTCGGACAGTAAGAATAAGCTGGTTGGACTCGTGTTGAAATATCTGAAATTTATTACCGCTTTCGCTTTTGTAATTGTCACAAGAAAAAAGGATTAAGAATTCAATTCAGACCTATCAAAGGTTTATCTTCACGGACACCGACGAGGCCAAGACTAACCTCTGCAACATTTGTTTTATAATCAACGGTTTCCCGTCAATTTCCTCCCAGAAAAACCGAACCCAAAATAATCCCCACAAAATCTCCTCACAATAATTTCCAACCATGTTGAATAGTGATGGGCACAAGCCGAGCTGGCTCGAGCTTTGAGCTCGAGCTTTAGGCTCGAACAGGTCGAGCTCTCTTAGTGACGAGCCCGAGCCAGCTCGAGCCCATATCCAAAAAGCTCGAGCCTAGGCGCTAGCCTAGCGAAACATTAGTAATGGTTCGAGAAGGCCAGAGCTTGGTGATTTATATGAGAATATATCCTCTATTATTCATCCTGAATACGAGCTCTATATGCCGACTTACTGTAAGGTCTATTTTTAGGTATAAACATGAAAGCTCGAGCCTGAGCTCGAGCCTAGCTCCACGGCTCGAACACCTCGAGCCTTTGTCTCCACAATCCGAGCCAGCTCGAGCCCTACCCCAGGCTCGTGCCCATCACTAATGTTGAAGTACGTTCTCGCCTTTGTTTCCCTCCTGCTCCTCGCCTCCACCGCCCGGGCCTTCTCTCCCGAATACTACAGCAAGAGCGAATTCCGAGGCGCCAGGTATACCCATACCAGCGAGGGAACCTACCAGATCGGGTCCTTTAAACCTGTTTCCTACAGGTGGATCACTAATGCTCTCCAATGCGCCGTAATTCTCTGCCTGGGATCCAAGCAGATTAAGACCCACGCAAAGTCTCCGAAGAACTAGGACTCCTCCCTTGCTGTGAGCGATCAGTTTGACATCGTCATCATCTCCTGTTGTCCACGTCTCGAATGCCCTCAGGGTTGTAGGGTATGTTGAGTTCTTGTGATGTTGGTGTCTTGTGTCTGATTTTCGCTGAGTGCTAACTTGTTGGTATTGTAGGAGATTGGCGTCGCCATAAAGTCGGTCGGAGAGCGGCGTCTCTAGTTAAAGTGGTGTGTTTGTTGGAGGGAGGGTTGGAATGCAAGTCTGTGGTCCAGCTCATAGCTAAAAGCCCTTCTTTAATGTAACGGATTGTTACTTACTTTTCTTGTTGAATTTCTTACTTTCTTCTTGTTCATTTCTTGCTTTCTTCTTGTTGACTTTCTTCCTTTCTCATGTTGACTTTCTCGCTTCTTCTTCTTCTTGACTCTCTTGCTCCATGTTGCCAAATGTCTACTCTGATTGAAAACATCTCTCTTCGTTGATAAGTTATCTGTCTTCTTCGTCAGTGACCTCCTACCAAAAGAAAGAAGAAAGAAGAAGAAGAAGAAGAAGAAGAAGAAGAAGGATATGTACCTTGATCTTTGCTACAAAATAACTCCTATTCCACTAGTTGTCATGTTCCATTTCCATATTCGAAGCCTTTGAAAACGTTGTGATTGTGTGCGAAAAGAGGTTGCTTTATCCGGAGACTGGTGCCGAATGGTATGTTGAGTTTTTCCCAAAAGGGAAGACAAATTTCACTACACAGTTTCAGACGTGATCAGTGTGGTCCATGAGGGTGAGCGTCCTTGTGTCCTTGCCTCGAGGACTTCCAAGGACAATTGTTGACCTTAATACGCCCGAATGAGATGAGATGAGGTCAAGGATATATACGATGCTTGTTATTCCGAATAATACCGCTTTTTATCGTCCTCAAGGGCAGAGGTCAATGAGAAAATACTATCTGGACACGTACGTGCACGTTCAAACCTCGCCTGGAGTACCTCGGGGACCACACTATCCAGGGACAGGGCCAGGACCGTAGTCTCTTATTTTCGACACATGGCAGGAAAGAAAAAAAGCTTCGTGTTTTTAGTCTTTAGCGACCGACTCGAGACATTCCGTGAGCCTGTCTCAAAGTCTCGAGCCACACGAGCTTCTGCTCCAAATGCTCTGAGCCGGCTAGAGTTTAAACTCGAGTTAAGATACAGCCAATATGGAGGTAATAATTCTATACCAGTCGATCATTCAACTATATTATCACTTAATTATGTTAGCTTATTCTCCTTAATCATGCCAGTAAGCTTTGATCTTGACATCCATTGTCAGAAGTATAGCCATCCCAAAAATCGTAAAGGCTTCCGGGGGTTGAACTTACCGAGTGGTATTTCATGATAATACCAAAGACGGATCAAGGCTACTAGAGTGGAAGTGCACAGGCCTCATACAAGTCCCTGAGGAGGTTATGTTGCTTTTAAAACAGAATTATACATGATCATAGATTCAAAGTCAATCGGCAACCACATTAAAGTTTTGGTAACTTCTACCAGTCCTACCCCTAGCCCTACCTCCCGGTAATCTTGGCAAATCTTAATTCCTTGTCTACGACAACACCTCTTCGGCCTCTTCGACCTCGCCGTTCTTGCTTCCTCCTAATTGCTTAAAACCACCGATTTTCCCAGGCCTCTTACTTTAATGACCAGTCCTCTGCACGTGAAAATCCGGGGACTCCAGCTGGACTCGACTATCAGATAGATCTGATGAGCTGATGGCTTTGATTATTCCTTCCGCCGCTAGTAAAACTCAATATATTTCACTAATGATGCGTGGCTTCAACTTGAGCTGGCTCGGGCTCATTGAATATTGACGCCCTAGTATCAAACAAACCTCCAACAAAAGACACAAGCTCCAGCATCTACATATGCAACTCGCCCTTCTCTCTCCTTCTTTCCACCACAATCTCCTTCCCTTTTACCATAGCCCACGTATACCACAAAGCCGCCACAACACCTCCAAAACATGCCCACCTCAGCACAAGAGCAACCATACATACGCCCCTCTCCTCCTCCTTGACCTCCTCCTCAACCACAATATCAACCCATTCCTTCACGGGTACATATGGCTTAACCCACTCGACCTCTTGGTCCTTTCCCATGCAGTTGTCCACTTCCCCGATAGTCGGGACATCAGTGTGAACTTCCAGATCTGGCCGCCAGTTGAAACATTTATCCTGGATCTGGCCCTGGAGCATTAAAGAGAGGCAGGGGCGGTTCATAGTACATGTGACGGATTCGAGAAACTGAGATACGGAGATACAGAATGCACGGCGGCATTCGAGATTGCATGTGTTCGTCGTGGCAGGGTTTCCGTAGAGGATAACTGGGGGATGGGTGGTAGCATGGGATAGGCTCAGGAGAGAAAGGATAATGAGCGGGAGAGACTGCATTTGTCCTAGCGAGTGTTAGTCATAAGTACTGGAGAGAAAGATGACACTGCTTACTTTGGCTTTGTGGGTAGTTATTGAAGCGATAACTTTAGTTATGGTGGGAATCTGTGAACGATATTGCTATAGGATAAGATGCGAACTACACGGACGAGCGAAGAATAACGGATCTATATATACGTTGACAGGGTGATATTATCTGATTACCGACCCGCAATAAGAATGCGGAACGAAAGGCATGGTTGATACAGGAGTGCATTTTCTCTGTTTTGTCATGTTGATCATTGATGCAAGGGCAACAAGTCGGAGGATGCATCCCGTACATACATACGTAGATTCCGGTGTATGTTTACATTCTTGTGGATAGGTAACCTCGTTTAGAAAAACTCATGGGTACTTGGTGATCGAATATAATCATACCGGCGGCACTTTTATTGGAATACCTATCAATTGCATGTATGCAACACGATGGAAGATCTGAGCGAGCACGAGATGAGGGTCCATCTATATACATATATGTATGAGATATCAGATACTTATTATAACAAATAGATCTTAATAACATTGGCGCAAGATTTTCTGCAGTAGGACTGCAGACTACTATCCATGTGACGCGAAATTTCAACTGGTGGACATCATATTGTAGACGTAACCAACTGGCCAACTAATAATTAGATATATGATTAGCTGACTAACCAAGTACTTAAGTGTCGATTGTGTAGTACCTAAAAAAAAATATCTACATCAGACATCCCACTAAACACTCCACCATCCAAATCCATTATCTTTCGCACTAGTATATTCGCTCATAGGGTGATGGCGGTCCCTGTGATGACGGACACTGGACAGGGGTTTCAAGCCAATGCTATAGAGTTAACTCTGGCAACATCAAGTGAATTATACTGCAGGTCCACCACTAGGCAGGGTCCGCCATCAGCCCATGAGCCAGTGTACATATGTACCTACTCCTCAATGCTCACTGCCCACCAACCGGCGTTCTCTCCGAAGTAGCGACAACCTTAAGCCAACTACAGCTTCCCCCCCGAGTTTTTCAATCGCCGTTCAACCCCCACCACCACCTGATGAGCTTTTTAATCACTACCGTTAACTCACATACTGCAGCTGTGACCAGTCGCCCACGGGGCAATTTAAAAAACGAAACTCTTCGTAAAGCAGGTACATATCTCTATCGTCATTTCAACGGTGTGCAAGCTTGGCTAAGTTCAATCACAGTCAAGGGTCTGCAAGTTAAGTACATATGTACTCTACTACATGTAGTTACATACATAAACCAACGTTTCATCCCGAGATCTGCTAGAGTACTTTATCCTATCTCAAGACTTCACCTCACGAGTATGCACAGCCCACAGCGCAGATCACAATATCGCGGACGCAAGGAGCCGCGGAATTCCCCAGTTTCAATCATATCATTTACACCTGTCCTAACGCAGGGGAGGAAATCTAAATCTAGAACGCCAAACACAAGCACCCTCAAGACATACATTAAAAACGATTAACTAGGTATGGGGGACAATAAATCAATAAGATAAGCACTATACTATTTTACACACTATACTTTACATTTAAATATCCGGAAATACAAATAACAATAAGAAAGAAAAAAAAAAGAGTTACTGGACAAAAGAAAATCAAAAATAGAAGGTAAAATAAACTCCAACCAAAGCCAGCCAAATTTTATCCCCTAAGACCCAGCCAGAAGAGAAAAGCTAGCCAATAACCATGCACTCCACACTCTACAAGTACGCCACACCCACAGTTACCATGCCTACAAACCCTGCTAGTGCAAAGTTGGCAATCACCGCTGAAGACCCGCCAGTGGACAAGCCGTTAATATCATCTTTGGTGCTAACTGACTCAGAGTTTGCTTTGGCGGTAGGCGAGATGGGAACGGGGCCAGTAGAGGACTTTCCATCCTTTCCATCCTTTGTGCTTGAAGCACCGCTACCGGTAGAGTTATGCCCGTTACCAAGTGTAGAGTTTCCGTGCGTGCCGTTTCCGAATAACGATGACCCAAGAAGAGTTGCGTTGGTACGGTTACCAAGGAACGAGTCCAGAAGAGTGCCGTTAAGGAGCTTTGTAAGGTCGCCAAAGAGGCCATTGGTTAGGTTTCCGAGGGCGCCGTGTGTAAGGTTTCCGAGAAGAGCCTTTGTGAGATTCCCTGATAGCAGGCTGCCCTTAAGGTCACCCGTGAGGTTTTCCGCAACAAAGAAGGTGGCTCCAACAGGCAGCCCGAGCTTGTGCTCTGATGCGAACTCAACAATGTCAAAATCCTCTCTATCAAGGTCGTCATCAAGGCTAAAGTCCTCCGGCTGAGGGAATAGGAAGGTTGTAAATCTATGGAATCCGGTGCCTAGTGGAAGAGATGGACCGGCGTATTCTAGTACTGGCGAGACAGCTGTTGAGAGGGTGTTCTTTCCACTACTCGAGGAGTTATTAGATGTACTGTTGGAGCAGCTGAGGTCGGTTTGGAGGTAGTGAATGTGTTGGGGGTTGGTCGCGTCTGGGTCGATCATGATAAGAATATGGTTTCCCGTGAGGGATGATGAGATGGAACAGGTTGGTGCAGAAGCAGCTTCTAATCGGGGTTTAGTCACTCTTTTCAACTGAAACTCATTAACGGAAGGCCATACCTTTAGAAGAAATCCCAATTAGGTCTGCCAATCCTGAAATAATAGAATCACCGTACTTGCAAGTCAAAATGGTGTTCTGAAAAAAGCCCGGGAAAATGTCTGAAGGGAATCCCTTTGAAATCTTAAGAGCAGCAGCACCCGCAGCAGCTACTGATACAGCAGAGCTAGCAACTGAAGAAACCTTGCTTGCCACGACAGACTCCTCCTTAGACACTTTCATTTCACTAATTACCTCACTCGCCGCACTTCCAACATTGGAGACTGTGTCACTGGATACTATATCAGTTACCTGTGTGGGTAGCGCTGATCCCAGTGCTGGTGCGTTTGATGTAAGGTCGCTGACGAGATCACTGACTGTGTCGAGTGGGAGTGCTGCCGCCGAGATAGTGCTGATGAGTGCGAGCGCGCAGGCGAAAGTTGAGCCATAGGATCTCATTTTCAAGATGTGTTTTTCTATATGTCTGTTGAAATAGACAGGGGTATGTAAATATCGAAGAGCTAAATATGGCGCGTATAAATCTCAACCGTCCGGACGGAGAAGAGGACCAAAATGATATAGGGAAAGAAATAAGGAAAGAAAAATAGAAGAAGAAAAAGATAGGAAACGAGAGATAGTAGTTTATATGAAGATGAAGATGGAGATATTGTGGGATATATAGCGACCGACACACAAGAGTGAGTATGAAAAAATGAATGTAACAAAAAGAAATAGTGACCCCTAAAGACACAGATAAAAGGAATACAAGATGGGGTTCGATAGGATATGAGAGGGGAGGAAGGAAAAGAAGAAAGGAAACAGAATAGAGGGGGACACCATTCACTGATATAACTCACCAGAGACTACATGTATCCACCTACTACCCACTAGAGTGTACATACCCACGGCCAAATGGCGTCGCCTTCATTTTCATTCGAGTCTTGCCAAGGGCGGGAAGGTAGGAAAAGAGTGGGATCACAGCCACAACCGGCAAAGCGCAGGGATCATAGCGGGCATCAAAACGCGGTCTTGGGTCGCGGTCGGACTCATGAGGTCTAGGCGTAGAATGAACATCCAGTCTTCCATCCAAATTGCCTTCTACGAGGTCCGTAAATAGGATTTGATGGACGGTTGTGAAACGGTGATAGCTGAAGATCTTGAACCTGTGGTCCGTAAAGCGGGAAATAAAAAGTAATTTAGCTACTGGGGCTGTTCAAGGTGATCATCAGGAACTGATCATGCACAGCATGCAGGTACGGTCTTGTCTGCGCACGTGGGTGTTTGGAGAGACCTGAGGACCTCATGCTCAGTTTAGAAAAGTTCGTCTCCTCCATATGTAGGTACAGTTTTAAGAGCACCCACTGGTTTCTAGAAAGCAGCCAGCTCACCGGAAAAACCTTTCCCCTATTCGCGGCAACTGAACTATCAGTTTAACCTCTAAGATAAGCAATTGAATTCAGAGTATAACACGCAATTGACATTCAGGATCGAATGCACTCTTGAATTCCCTTCCCCCTAATTAACTCCCAACTCCTCAGTCTAATTGCCTCATGGTCCAGAGTTACATGCAGTAAAAAAAACACCTCCTCACATACATACTACAACTCACGGGAGTTCGGCTACACCAATTCCAATTGATTCCAATCCGTTACCATAGTCATTTCATCCCAGGGTTAGGGTTCGTCTCTCCTCCCTAGACCTATCGGTAATTAATCATCTTGGAAATCTCGGCAGACAACCTATCTCGATAGGTATTACGCCCCGATCTGTTTTTGGAACTATGCCGGGAGAGGTTTGAGTAATCAGGATTCAATTCACTAATGCGATTCCTCGTTAGTTCAGGCAGAGTCCCAGAGGTGTGGGTTTGTGGTCACGTCCCATTGGCTATGGCCTGTTATGCAACGCCTGATCTTAGTTCTCCGGTTGTGCTTCATATGCTGCACACCTGAGCGGAGGATGGCCAGTGAGGTGGTTTCCTCGTTCAGAGATTTTCTTCTTTCTAGCTTGATAAATTCTGCTAGGTAGATGAAATGTTTATCGCAACTTAAGAAACCCTGGTGACAGCGTTATCCCTTAACTAAGACTGAGACATACATCTAGAGAGTTGACTATCATACGCTCCCAGTGCATGGACCTACTACTTCTACTTTCGCTTTGACAGTTCTTGTTTCAGTATGTGGGGCAGTGCTATAAAGATTTGAAACAAAATCTTGATAGGTACGTTAATCAATCAATAATATAATTGTCACTGATATGGTCACGTGTGGTGTTGTAAACGAGTGATGATGTATGAAGACGGACGGTTGTTCATTTATCCGGGTACGCAAGATTGCATACATAGAAGTCTCACAATAGGATCCTAGATCATCATGCATATTTGAGATATTATGTCATTAATAATGCTTCTATATGAATAAAGAACCGCCGCCGCCGCACAAAGAGAAGATATGAGTGCCGACTCAGAAAACAGTGTCACATTAAATCCCGGAATCCCATTAACCCCCAAATACCTGATCTCCAACAAAAAAAATACAAAATGCCCTGAGACAGAGATTCGATCCCAGTGTCCCGATAGTGGTGGCAGAAGTAAGAGTTTATATTGAAAATCTAAGAGTTCGTTAGATTAATTTGTATAGATAAATAAGCTGAAATTGATGTTATATACCTCGTGTCTGTCATTCACCACGCGCACCATGGATGCTTTGAGACATCTCTGCAACCATGGAACCTTTGGAACTTTTTTTTGTAGTATTCTTCTTTCCTCCTGCGTTATCGAGGGGTGTTAAAGGGACAATGAGCTTTTCCATTCGACCGATTCCTGAGCCTTCGAGGAAGCGACCCATAGGCGTACAGAATGAGCTAGTTTGTTTACTAGTTCGAATGTATTCGGTGAGATCAATACCAGATATGACGACTCTGTGGGCTTGTCTTAGAAATTGGGACTATATGTAAAAATAAAAAGGAAGTTACCATTACCTTTTATCGGAAGTGCCTTGAATTATGGCAGTCATAATTGATGTTTGGAATATGTAGTGATATCGGAGGTGGTGATAGTGATAATCTCGATAGTGGTAATAGTACTGATAATCGTGGAATTTATGTAAGAGTACTATTAGTGGATGCCGAGGTGTATTTTGATATTCTAATTGGGATGTATTCTTTTTTTTTCGTTGTCTTTTTGAATCATCCGCGCTGTATGCCAGAATATATATACTCCAGCTAGTTCTCAGCTGCGATATGCCTTGAATGCACGTCCAACAATTCATCGTGACTGACGCCGCCTACGGTAATAACTCGGGTGATATTGTTATAGGATGCTGTCCTTCCAGTCCATCCATCGTACGACACATAGTTTACCTTAGTGCAGATTTCCTTTTCCCACAGAACAACGTATGGAACATCAATCTGCCTCGAGATTTAGCCATTGGCGCACTGAGGTCTAGGCCCTTACATAGGCATCTGATATGAAAAGAAAGAAAGAAAACGGTGGGAAGATGTCTGTGAAGATCTTCGGGGAGGTAGGACACATGGTTCTCAGGCAGTATTTTCTTCTCGGCGCGCCATGGGACGCCATGCACAAGGTAAATAGGGCAGACTTTTGAAAAAAAAATGGAAGAACGGATACCACGTAGGATACCAGTACAAGAGCCAGTGGCTTACTTGTCAATGCGTATGCAGAATTGAAATGCTTATTTCTGCGCACATCATTTAGATTTGGTGACTTCCTTTCCTTTTTTTCAACCCCAGCCCTCCTACTACCATTCCAATCTTGATAGTACCGAGATCTACTATCAAAGGAAACCAAGAAATTATGGCACCACTTCGAGGTCATCGTTGGAAAGCCGGTTGAAGCACTGCCGTATTACGCTGTGCTCGCTTCGCCTAGACTGCAGTAATCAAAGATATGTCCAAAAGAAGTTCTTTCGTGCTTGTGTTTTCGTTTCTTTAGTTCCTGGGTCGTCTTGAACTGTTTTGGAGTTGCATGCGGCTGAGAATTAAGAATCGGCCGGGCCAGTGTGCTTGCAAAGAATCAAAGATCTAGTTATCCTGGAGACGTCATTGCGTAGTGGTTGTGGTGGTTTCAGGGTAGCAATGCCCCACTCCCAACTTAACGACGACATCATGCAGGAACAAAACACCGGTAGACAGGGCAGAGACACACAGGGTCCGCCGCGACTACTCGCGACAGTCCTGAGCATCGGTAACCGGCCCGTAGCATTTTACTGGAACATACCTTTGCGCGTGCGACGTGTTTTAGACTCAAACAGAGAGAGAGCACCACCCCCCACTCCCTCCTCTACCTCCTCTACCTCCCCACCCCACTCGCCCCGCCTCCTCCACCACGAAAATACACGAGAGACCTCCACTTCAGGCTCCAGTTCAACCAGATCATTACCTGTCCCAGCATGTATGTACCTGTCTGTCGAAACATCCTTCAACCTCCGTCCTGGCACGCGGCCAAAATCATATAGGGACATAATGTATACGTAGCGTGTAACCAATAGGTACAAATCTTCGGTCTCCAGAATAAGACAAGCGTTGAGAGCAACGTTCGCCAAACAACCTCTTCTGATCCTCTTACGGCTTCTAGAAACACTTTATTTGCACTCAGCTACCCTTTATATCGTCGGCATTCGGGGATGGTCCCTACAGGAAACCTAGCGACGTCACCTTACAGGTAGAAAGAACCCGCTTCCCCAACAGGCACAAAGATAGGCGGTTTCGCGTCAGCACTAAGTACTTACCACTACCACATATCACCCTCCGATCTCGCTGTCGAGCCTTGCCTTTTCCTTTCCTCTTCCCCCCTCCTCCGGTTCCTTCTTCCCCTACGACAAACCTTGTTTCCATCATCATCATCATCATCATAACCTGTTTTCTGAGGTGAAGAAACATGTGCAGTTACGTAGAGTGGAGGCGGCCAGCCCCGAGCAACAATGGTAGTTCCGGATGATTTACACCCCGCGACATCTGCATTGGATCTCACGATCATTCGAATCTGAGTCAACAAACGGGAACTCGAGGAGCACGTGGCTCTACAGAATAGTTTTTTTGACATTTCTACACTCCTGCTAAAAAAAAAAAAAAAAAAAAAAAGGGGGGGGAAAAGAAACATCCGCGGGGACATGGGAATGAGGTGGGATGAACTACAGGATGAACAGCTGACGAAAATAAGAAGTATAGACACCAAAGGAAGAGTCCGGGAAACGCGTCATGTTCCTAAAGGACTCAATGCTGCACCGGAAAGGTCTAGAACCTGTTGGGCCTGAATATATTGCTGTAGGTAGGTACAGTTAGGTAGCTATCCTCCACATAATATCACGATGCCTGAGTTTTGAAGATTCTTCCCTAAAGCTTACAGAGGGCGCCTTGCAGATCTTGATAACGCCTTTGGGCGAACCTTTCAGCCCACTCAATTCGGTCATGGGACAATTTCGACAAATTGACAATTCATTACTCCCTCCCTCAAATAGAAAATATCAACGGATATATCAAACAAAAAAGGAAAAACACAACGCACAAAGCACAAAGCACCGGGGGGTTCCGATAAAACGGACAGCACAGTGTCCTAGGATGTCAAGATTCTTTATATTGATCGATTAATCACTTGTACTTGGTGCCAGAGGCTGTACGGGACAGACTTCTGTACATCAAAATGCACCCTTCCCTAATTGACCCGAACACTAAGTACTCATCGTCATCGCCCTCCATCTTTGGCCCTTGTAAGAGGACTGACGGCTGCCTGCTGGTCTACTTGTACTAGCTGAGACGGCTGAAATATCGACTTGGGTGGCTGCCTGGCTTGAGTATCACGAGTGCAGAAAAGAAGCAATGAGTAAAGCTAGCCTCACTCGGGCTCACGCTCGTGTTGGTCTCGAGAATAGACTTGCCGTACTGCGGGCGTACATACAGACGTCTGTAGGCTGAACATGCCCTTTCCTTGGAAATGACGCATCTTAATATGTGTCGTTTCCTCAGTATTCAATTGTTTCCCTTATATCATGGGATAGACAGTTGGGATAACGACTGAGAAAGTACTACTCAGTTCACATATCGTCACTCGGTGCGGTGTTGAAAGCGTTGCCCAGGAAAAAGAGCGTTGAGATGATAAGGGTCCAATGCGCCCAGATTCGAATATTAATTTAATCCTAATGCGGTACTGATGGAGAAAGGGGGGGCTGGCTAGTCGGATGAATCCATCGATTTTTTTTCTTCCCCACATAAAGGATGGCACTAAGCTCTCTGATAACCAAATTCAATTGTCGAATCAAAATACGTACAATAAAGGGAAAATATAACTGCACCACACTTATTTATTTGAACAATGAATAGAGTTCGACACGCCGAAGCAAAGCAAAGCAAGTAGTAAAACAAACGCCTCCCAGGACTCCTCGGCTGCTCAAGTATGCTCAAGTAGAAAACTAAGACCAAAAGACCGTAATAACAAGATATTGCCGCCGCAGCAACCCCAAAAATAAAAGTAAGATCACCTAGAAAGTAAATAAACCTTATAACGTGAAAATGAGAGATAAGAAATGAAATGAAAAAAAGAAACGAACTCCCATCTACCTATTCTACCAACCAACCAACCAACCAACCAACCACCCACTGTAACGATTGTTATGAATAGTAAAATCGTGACAAACCTTCCCAAACTCGATATTCCTGTGCGCGCCGTAGTCCCTCTCCAAATGAATAACTCCAGTAAACGAATAACCCTTCTGTTGCTCCGTTAGGCCGTTAATTCATTGTACTGTTTTTTTTTTTTTTTTTTTTTTTTTTTTTTACTTTTTTCTCTTGGTTTTTTATCCGTATTACCATATTCCCATTGGCCTGCCACAAACCTTCGTATCTAGAGACAAAAAATGTTTCAAGGTGAGGGTGATGAGACCGGCTTCCATCCTGGGAAAAATAGTTGGGAGCACCAGTACATGGAGTCTTCGTACATTTCCTTCTCTTTAAGTAACTTCAATCCGCTCTCTGCAATATAAGATTAGCTTCTGTTATTTCTTGCTAAAATAATTGATCCACCCAATTGGCAAATAAATACCTTGTTGCTTTGTGGCTTGGATAACATCTTTCATATATCTGATCTCATCCTCATTGGACTTTGCCAACACAATAGTGTCACCAGACTCCCAGTCCACAGAGAACGGAGCGTACCCCTTGCTGACGTGGTGGAAGTGGGCCAATAGGATGTTAGCACCCTGGAAGACCGCATCGATAAGATGATAATTGGAGAAACGATTCTGCAACAAGGCAGTGTTAATATTTGGTACTTGTGATACGTGTACAGGAGGCGATAAGGGGGCCAATAGCAACCTGTAAACTATAACGCATCGCAAACCAGCGATCGTGCGCAATCGTGAGTTCCATATTATGCAACAAGATAAAAATGGTCAGGTAGATCTCCAAAAAGTCTTCCGGCTTATTATTGAGAACCTTCTTTTGCAACTCTTGAAGAAGTTTCTTTCGTAGTGGGATTAAAAGCTGGTGGATTGTAATATTATCGATCTGGAAATCCATGATTGGGGTAACCGGTGTTTTGCCGTAATACGGGCTACCTTCATCCATGGTAGGTGTCATACCGAACGTTTCGGTTCCGACGATTGACCATGGAGTTTCGATGATCCGACTGGCGACCCAGAGTTTCAAGGCGTTCCGCAGTAGCGAGGACTATGAAGCTTTTGGTCAGTAAGAAAATAAAGCAAAAGTAAACGGCACGTACCCCTTTGGAATTGCTCATGCGTAGTGCCATTGAAAACGATTCCCACAAGATCAAGTTTGAGCTAACGTGTTCTTGGATGTATCTTATGGTGTTGTCCTCAACATAACGGTTGATAGTTCGTTGGGCATCATCGATATCAGAGATGGCAAAGGGGGGGCAAGATAAAGCTCCGACGTTTCCGCCGTTAGCTACCCAAGTGTATGTGTCTCTGTCATCAGGCAGAGGCTTGTACTGCTTAGCCATTAGGTTCAATGTAAGCCCCATCCCTTGCGTGATAGTGAAACCCTTGGCTGGCGAGGCCCAAACACTTCGATCGTTCGGGGAGGCTTTAAGCCATCGTCTACGAGTCCATAAGAACTCTTCAGTTGGACCTTATTAACATCGAAGTTATAGGTTAGCGTCATATCGGTGATCATTTAAGGCTTTGTTATCAACAAGATAAGGGCTAGGGCCAGCCTTGCGGCCCAGTTTTGATGGTTTATACCTCTTCGGAAAAGCTCAGATTCTGTCATACGGGCTCGGAAACATGGTATGTTCGGAATCTTGGAGAAGATCGATTCACAGTACTTGCAGCAAGCCTCAGACACTCTGATGCACTATATGACGTTAGTCCGGTACTTGAGAAAGCTAGGGTGTGTGGTCGTAAGGGGCCGTGTGGAAGACAGGGGGGATAAGTACCCTTTTCTTGTTTTTCCAGCATGGCAAACAAGCACCAGTGATTCTTGTCATATGGGTTTCCTTCTTCAATTCAGGTGTAAATCTTTTCCTTTGTCTTTTCTTCTTGCTGCTTGATGAACTCGAGCTATGCGCTGGCTCGCCTGTTTCGCCGGGTTCGCCATCACTACTATCTGAGGTGCTCTATAGATACCGAACCGAACATGATTGTTAATCACAGTGTTTCTTATGATCATGAAGAGAGAGTAAAAAAAGATGAAGAGTACATGGAATGGAAGTAATACAGATTTTCTCGCTGGTGCGCTAATAACAAGTGGCTCAGGAGCCTCGCTGTCACCCGAACTGCTGCCAGGTGTGTTGAAGCCGACCGAGGAACCCGACGTCTCAACGCCCGTGTGTCCACCACTACCCGAACTCGAATTATAACCAGAGCAGTCTGAGGCGGGTTGCCATGCGCCGGGCTCGTCCCACGGGCCCTGGTCGAATAGTTGTACAGAGGGGTCGAGCCGAAGCAGCTCCTGATAGATATCAATGTTTTGTTCGATGGCTACTGCATCTTGGTAGACGGCTAAGTCGAGGTTGGGGTCCATCTCAGCCATCTCGGGCGCGTAAGGGTCGAACTCGTGTAAACCAAAGTGAGTGTTGTTTTGAGCCCACCAGTCATTAGCAGCAGTGATGTCTAGACAGCCAAAGAATCCATCCGGAGCGGGTATGTTCTGAGCGGCAAATGGTGGGGTGGGAGTCTGCGGCAACTTAATGTTGGGGACTGATGCATTGTAGTAGGCGTGTAGGTGTTCTTCGCCAGTGTAGTCGCGAGGAGTGAGGGGGTCGAAATCCCACGAGGAGAATGGAATCTCAGAACATGATTTCGGTGAGTTCAGCATGATTAACTTCGATTAACTGGGGAGAATATCGAAAGTCAGGAGGAGGAAGTGCGGGGGAGAACGGGGGGGAACGGGGGGGGACGGGGTTGGAAGGGAAGGAGGCTGCAGGGCAACAAGACGCAACAGACTCAGCAACGGTGAGTAGGAGGAAGTGGGGACCCGAGAGAATTAAAAGAATTGAGAGATGGTGAGGTCTGACTAGGTTCTCCGTGACGGGACGGGGGTGGGTGGGGGGAGTGGGCCTATCAGAGAAAAGGAACAAGGACTGAGTGTTTCTGAGGGTTGGTCGTGGTAGACGATGTATGTCGGTATGTACCAATGCCTACATATACGCCTATGTCTACTGCACATACACAACGATAGTAGGAGAATGGTGTAGAACGATTTGGAGCAGTGTATGTACCCAGGAGGAAAGGGAAATACAATAGTACTCAGGTAGTGGTGACGATCCAGCGAGAGCAGCAGAATTACATGTAGGAAGTAACTTTGTGGTTAGGTACAGTAGAGTTCGCAGCAACAAATAGGTGTACCGTGTACCACTATCCACTACACACTTACTCTGAATGGAGTACTTTACTGAACCGTACCATGCCACCTCCACCTCCACTCCCACCTCCACTTCCCTCCGCCTCCACCATCGCGCTCCCCCAACCCCAGACAGGAACAATGTCACGGACGCCAACTAACTATGATCGACGATTGACAGAAGATCCGGAACTTGGGAGCCAGAGAGAGCTAATACCATCCACTATCCACCGGCGAAAGAACCGTAATAATCTTCGCGCTGGATCGGGCCAGCTTGCATGCCAAAATTACTCGTTTTCTACATATTGTGTCATCATCATCATGCACATGTGCAGCTAATACACTACATGAAGAAGGTGGGCCATGGGTGGGAGAGCAGCTATCTACGGATTTGAGGCGTTTGGGTTGGCGAGAGGAATCGACAGAATTCTTGTGTTGACCCGACCACCACCCTGATGGATGGATGCGAGATGCGAGTCGAGTTGCGCGTATGTAGCACCAAACGCCTCACGCTTCACCACTTCTGGATTTCTTTTCAGCCCACGTTTACGACCACCCTGGGAGCCTGGCCAACACAAAAGTCAGCACATCAACACTTAAGCACACCTCCCCCTCGTTACAACGTTACAACGGGCATTGGCCCCAAGACAGCGAAGTTTCCCCAGACATTCGAATTCGTACTTGCACAGAAGAGATAAAGAGTACATAGACGACCTAATTCTACAGGAGTGCCCCTTCATTGCCCACGCCTGCTGAATACATCATACCTCTTGGGGGAGCCACATGCGGGGCTACACGCACGCACGTTCTTGCTCTTGCATCGCGTCCTGTAACGGTTCTTGTGATCATCCGGTCGAACCACTCTAAACTAGCACACCCTCGAGTACATAAGGCCCCAGCAATCCAGGCGAATGTTCATCGATCGTTGATGGCACTCGTCTCTTGTTTGCGCAGTTGTGTTTCAATTTATTGCGGGGTTTTATTTTATGGATCTTGATGGATTCGATGAGTGGATCACGTTGATAGATTGAGTCATCGAAAGGGAGGATTACGGGGTCATAAACGACAATGGGGCGTTTATTTACGACGTCAGAGCTAGCGGCAATCGCGGAAAGCGCTTCATACCACAGTAACCCCTAAAATCCTCCAGCGTGCGTAGTTATGATGAGGTCAAAAGTCAGGGTCCAGGGCTCTATGTTGTTTCCATAGCTACTATAAGTACCTGAAGATGCTTCTGATAACTTAAAACTCCGTATGTTTGAAATTATGCAGTAACCAGGACTGCTGCTCTAAAATACATTTAGCTAATGTAACAAAAAAGAAAACCATAATAAAAATACAAAAGTACCAAAAGAAATCAGACATATAATAAACAATACACAATACAATAACTTTTTTTGGATAAAAAAGAGACTACTGATAATCCTGCAGTTACATGTATCTCAGCTTTTCCCTTTTGGCTAGCTTGCTAGCCGCCAATGATAAATAAACTAGACGTACAAAACATTACCTTGAAATAAATAAATAAATAAACCCGGTATTCGCCATCAAACTTTTGTAAACAGAAAAGAAGAAAAATAAACCCCAATTTTAGGAAACCTCTATAAAAAAAAGTGCTGGAAGGTTAGGTAAGTAGTCAATACGGTAATACAACAAATAGGGATATAGAGAGAGTAAGAAATTAAAGAGTATAACCGAAAAAGGAGTAAAAGGGTATCAAGAAGTAGTAATAAAGAATAAACATTAAACATAAAAAACGTCAAACATCACGCAACCACCCGTGTATACTTCAATGTAGGACTCAGACGCTTAACCATGGCCCGATGAGCGACGTTGAGTGGTCACATGATCCCGATCTGTTATCGGCTCTATCGGCCAGAGCTCGGTCGAGATATCGTTGTCCCCATACGCAACATTCCAGGCAGATTTCAAACAGTCTGGAGTTTCCCACGCATGCTCTTCGCTCCTCAACCATAATCTCAACAGATGCCTCTTCTGGTCCCTCGAAGTGCCGTCCGTGAACCCTTCCCGGGCGTGCAGGATGCTCATGTTGTTCCAGAACAGGATATCCCCACGTTTATTATCCAGTGTTAGCGAGTGTTTTTCTGCCGTGAAGTGGAGCGCATCAAGCGCATCGGCTTGGGCGTCTGTCATCGGCGGGATGGTTTTTGAGCGTGGTGACACCTTCGAGCCTGTTAAGATACGCCGTGAGAACGCGAATATTATCTTCCCTGCTTGGTTGAATAGTAGTGGGCGTTGGTAGTACGGTTCTCCGGGCCGTCCAAATCTAAAAAAAAATATGAAACCTTGTGAGTCCTCTTGCCGCTATGTCTCCCCACACTGACGCCACGTACTTAGAACAGAGGAGAGAGGGAAAACTTACGTATCAAAGATCCAATCAGGAGACTGGAGAGTATCAATATGATCTGGCCTGGATTCAGCCAGGTCATTATAGATAGTCCATGAAGATGTGATTTTGCTCTTTCCGCCCTTTTTGGCCTGGCTGAGGGTATAAAGCGCCAGGATATCCCCGATATCTGTATGGTAAGGCTGAAACAACAATAATAATCAGCATATGCCCTTCCATTACTGGCCTCTCCGAGCCGATAAAATCAAAAGGCACAGTTATCTACCTGTTGGACGTTCGAGTATGGTGCTTGGCGGAGGTTATCCGGCGCAACTTCCGAAGTAAGATCAATTAAGTGAACTAAGGAAATCGTTCGTTGTCAGTTTGATGCAATTGACGTGTAGATGAATCAGATAGAGGATTACTACTGGGGAAAGGGTAACTAACGGAGCATGTTGTTGTGTTCATCCTGTCTTCCACGCTTCTCGGCCACATAGCTTGAGAGCCCCACATAAATAAGAACATTGTCCTCGCTGGAGTACTTTTGTGGTTCGAGGCCCCGCAAGACAAAGAACCCTCTCCCGTAGTACAGCGAGGCTCCCAGAGCAATAAGCCTAGGACCAAGAGTTGGCAGGACAAAGTTTTGTCGATTTATGCATGAGATCGAAATTCCTTTTGCTGTGATATGTGTGAGCTTCCATTCGTACGCTGCAAGGGCAATTAAAAGGATACATGTATGGAAAAGGCGAGTGGAAAAGCGCCGGAAAAGGCAAAAAAGTGTTGTTTCAAGAATGAAACTGCAGGGTAGAAATCCTAGAGAGGATGATAACCAGTCAGGAAAAACTTACATTTAAAGGCTCTTAATGCCTCCTCGGTCTCTTCTATCTCCAGCGCCGAAAGCTCCACAATGTACTCTTCCTCCCTCAATTCATCTCCTTCCCACGCAAGTGGGGACTCCAACTTGGTTGGAAATCCTTCCGGAAGAGTTTTCTTAAGTCCACCATTCCTCAATCGCCGTAAATTTCTATCGCGATAGGACTTAAAACTCGGAATCCACTCGATATCGGGTTGCTGTGGTGCTTGCGCAACCGCATCTCCGGCCGCCGGCTTTTGATCAGCGGCCCTTGGTCGCCTTCTTCGTGCCGGTGTTGCGGGGGAAGTATATGCAGGGTCCAGGTCAGGTGAACGTATTTCGTTGGCATATCGGAGTGGAGCCGGCGGGGCCATTGTTGCCATACTTTATGGGTTTCGGGGTTGTGGTATTTGATATTTGCTTTTTCTGCTCTGAGACTCTCTCTGACAGCCGTATGTATATCTTTGCTTTTTCCTCCTTATTAATCCTAATATTCTGCTTGTATCTCTCAATTCAATCTCCGCTCTGGTCGCAAAGTGTGATAAAGAAAATATAATAGAAAAATAAATAAAATAAATTTCCAAAAAATAAAATGAAGGAACGACGAGAATGAAAACCTTCAACGCAGCGGCGATAGGTCGAGCGCGAATAGTGGGGGTGCTCAGGAGTTATTGGAGTACTCTCCGGCCGGATAGGATTAACCAAAGAGCTGTCGCTGAAACATTCAAATGCCGCTTTGTAACCGAATAGGATGGTAGTAGACCGGGTTACCCAGTGATGATTTTTTCTCTTCCCGGATGCTTGAGCGCTGGCTGCAACTGAGCACAAGCAGAAAGTAGAGTGAAAATAACTGCAACGACAAACGTCTTCTCTTCCAACCTATCCAGTGTTGAGAAACGAAGATGAGAGTTACCACCTAGCCCTATCTTATAAGGTATACGGTACGGCGGTATTATCCCTGCGAAGAGAACGAAAGAAAAAAAAGTTCTGTGTGTTAGGGATCAGCACTCAAGTAACTGTTTGTAAGAAAGCAGCTATAGCGCTAGCTAGGCCTGTCTGTCTAGGTAAGACCTGAGGGCATGGGGGTGAAAAGTAGAAACAACAGCGCCACCCAATGATGATGATGCTGCCGGCAGGAAACAGTTGTTTGATCCACAACTACCGAGTAATAGATGATCCTCCACTGTACTAATGCAATGTCATGGTACGTACCTGTTAAGTGAGAGTGATTCGTTCACGGATGAGTACGAGAGTAAGATCAAGTAAACGTCGGTGGAACGGTGTAGGAGTAGCAATTAGGTATCGATTCGATATGTAGAGGAACGAAAACCTGCCGTTTAGTTGGAACAGTCGCGATCGATACTTGTTACTTTCAAATTCAGACGGATGGGTTCCCGTACGGTATTTCTATTGCCCTCAATCCTCCCACCCCCCCTCCAATGAATAATAGGGGTTTCGACCTAAGGCTTGAATTTTGTACCTGTAATATATATTTGGAGATGGGAGAGGACTTCAAGGACCCTTCATTGTTGTTAGCGCAAGCCGTGGAAATTCGGTTCTCGCCCTTCCCCCTGCTAATGTTTCATTCCGCGGTGCATGTCACATCGAAGGGTAGCTTGCATTGCATGCACGCAATATCGTTGCAAGCCCGTTCATTCCAGAACCCTTCTATTCTCCTCATAGAGCGCATATCCTTAAACTATTTTTTTTCTAGAGTAGCATTAACTCTTTTTTTTTTTTTTTTTTTCTTGTCCGGGATTCGGGAATGCCATGACGGCTGCTACTCTTGACTAGTGATCCCAACATTTGACGTCGGTACGTATCAGGATCAGTCTTGTTCACAAAAGCGGTGCCTTGCAGTGAGGGAGTGACTGACATACCGAGGATCCCATCCCTACTCTGGATATCCCCTTTCAAGCAAGCAGGTCTCTCATAGATTGGTGATCTCAATAGATAATGTATCGCAACAAAATAAAACAAGACAATAAGCAAGCAAGATAGGGAGAATATACACCTCCATCCTAGCTGAATATTAGAAACAACAGGAACAAAAAGGAAATAAAAGCCCCACAGCATGCCAAAAACAATTAAGCATAAAAGTCCCAAACAGAAAGAAAAAAATAAAAACCAAAAAAGCCACATTTTTTTCCCTCTTCTTTCTTCCCGTATTTCCAAAGTTGTGGCGGATGAGATGGTTAGTTAGATTCCATTACAGGTAATGCGGATCAATGCATGAGAGCACTAATGTCCAAAATAATTTCAGATGAGGTCGCGTTTGCATCGATCCGCATTCCTTGCGGACTGGCCCTGCATAAGCTCTTCGCAGAAACAACAAGGCCCTCTTGAAATGGAATGGGGGAAGCTCGGCAAAACAAAACTCTAGACTAGATTAGTACATTAGCCAATGTATTATCGTGGCGGAAAAAACCAAATCTCTAGCTAGGCATGGCAGACACCGTTTCTTTTTGTTTCTCGCTACCTAACCACTTACATATGTAGGTATCTAGTATTTATGCTCATAAGGTTGCACACCATCATGCAGTTAGTTGCTCATGGTTGCTTAGAAACGCGGGAGCTGAGCTGGGGAATTTTGTCAAACAGCTGTTTGAAGATACGGACACAACGGCGCAGGTCTCACCACAATCGTAGCCAACAAATTTGAAAAATATAGTATAGATAATTACTTACTATGTACGTACCTCGGAAATGTCTCTCTTGTCTTAATAATCCTACGGGTAGGCATGTAGTACCACTGTGCTTATCATGAATAAAATAATCATCAATTTTAACCTTTGTGGTGCCGTAGTAGTCACCGTTCATATCTCATGAGCAATAACGTCTTTCCCCTGTCTCCCTTCACCCGCCGTTTACTCTAACGTTTCCCATCCCCCCCACCCTAGGTGGATGTCCGTGCTTGCGCCCTAGGCTGCTGCGCAGAGTTGATAGACGTTAGGTCACAAACATACGAAAGGGGGTGGTTTGAATAAGAAAAAAAAAAGGGAGGGAAAAAAGGAAAAAAGGAAAATATGACTTTCATTCACGATGCATCATATCTATGTATCCCCACACAACAACATCCGCGGCAAGAACCGATAGGTCGGCAGTGGCAGCGTAAGCTAGAGTAGGAAGACCTTTAGCCTCTCATCCTCGTCCTCGTCTCCATACCCCCACCCCCCTGGCGATTGCAGTGGTATGTAAATGGTATTATGATTATATGAGTGTTAGGTTGTTGAATGATCTTTCACCTACAAACACCTCTCTCTGTACCGAGCCTCATTTATTGTGTTCTCTAATAATTATACGCAGATCTGTAAGAAAAATCTTTAATGGCAATCCCTATCCTTTTGTTGTCCATTGTTGTGGTTGTTTTTATCTGTGTCACCCAGGTCTCGCAATCCTTTCGTAAACGGATCTCAACGTCTAAACCGGGCCATGGATGGATGTTGCCCGACCTAAAAACCTTATTAGCGAGCGAGCTAAAACACCTCATCTGTACCCGTTCTTGTACCTGCAGTTGCCAAAGTAAGTACCTACTAATGTTACGTACATACATGGTACTCTACCTTACCTAGAGTACCTGCACCTCTAGAGAGTATAGCCGACCTCCCGTGATTGAATTCCATACAAGTTCCTTCCTTCCATCCTATGTATGTATAATCCTCCCGTGCCTAAGTAAGTTGTCACGTCAATCTGTCCGTCAGACCGCAAACTCGGCTTCGATTGAACTAGAGTGCCCCCTTGCCCTGGCTGGATTGATAAGATTAGAGAATACACCTACTTACTCTACATATTTCCAGTATGTTCCTGGGTCCCCGAAATTTGTTTCTTACCAAATACTCTACGTATACATGGGAAGGAAGCTGTTACTATTCCCTATCTCACTCCCCGCGGCCCATCTGCCGTAGAATATACGCATTCAGATATTCGTTCCACTTATTCCATGACTGTTTGACGATGATTGTGTTTGTTGAGTGATCGGTTTTCCCCGGAAAGAGACAGGAGACGTATGTACCTATGTGGATTGACACAATTCACCTCCTTTATCCCCGAGACATTTCCTATATTGCCCTGAAATTGTGTCCGGAGCCTCAAGTTACACGCCTGTTCAAAAGACGCCATGCACTCACCTTCAGTCATTCGCAACGGCTGATCGTCGGAATGCGTGTTAGCCACGCGTGTCCGACTATACCACTTTGACCTACCTCCCCGCGCCAGGTTACAGGAACCGAGAGATGGGAATCTGTTCACGCCACTGTCATGAGATGGTCCAATTTCAGGCTTTTGATGTCTCTCCAACGACCCGGGAACGGGGGAGGATGTTCTTTTCGTATTTCTGGATGAATGGATATCCCGGTGGCAGTCGAGTCAACCCTAGTTGGGCCTCATGAAACGCGCGCGCATGAGCGGGGAATACATACATACCTAGATTTTTCTTCAGCCCTGCATCGTTCGGGTATAAGAAAGATCGGAAGCATCAATGCTGGCCGGGCCGGAAAAAAAAGAATGTCATAGGCGGGCTGCAGGCTTAGTCTTTTGTGCTCCCGTCGAGAGAAGGGTTATTGCTTGTAAGAAGACAATACAGAACACATGTTATCTGGTCCCAAATCTCGTTAAAGATTCCCTACTTTCATAATCAACTTGATAGGTCAACTGCATCCGAAACTGACCAGTCTGCAGTATTGATCCTTGCTCATTCAAAAAAAAAACTTCATACTTCCACGATTCCCCATGTGCGCCGAGTCGCCGCTGACATACGGAGATGGAGTCGGTAGCAGCCGGGCTTTGATTAATCCGACTAAATTGCCAACCGGATAGATGCTCTTTTGACATTCGCCATGGACCTTCGTGGGTATATGTGAGCGAATTTATCAACCACCCTTGTGATAGCAAGATATCCTGGAATAACAACATGTAGTTGGTGTATTTTTTTTTATTGAAAATATCAAGTAATCTGTGTAGAGGAGAGAAAAGAGAGAACACATGCGGTACTGGATTCGCATTTGCCTGCCCGGCTGACCATTCTACCTTGACCTCAATCGAGTGTAGTTAAATTCGAGGTCGGTCTCTAGAATGTGATCTATATCTGTTTCGACGTTACCCGCAATCAATATCAAACAAAAGGATGACTATTCAAGAAAAGCTCTAACCTTTCTTTGAGCGAGTTATCGGCGGAATGTTCCGCCATTCCCGTTTTGTCGGCCAAGGGGGGAGCGGTGTCACAGAATCACTTAAATCGGCCTCTCAACTGTAGGTACACGTTCGTGAACCGGGCAGTCACGAACGATTTTCCGGTGAAGCTCCTTTCTTGCGTATCTATTGCTTAATTGAAAGCTTTTGGAATATTCCATTATGTTTCCTACTTCAATGAATGCCGATCTAGCCAGTTGAGGTAGGAATCATCCTCATAATACTGTCGAGAGTTGACAGCAACGGATGAGGCCGGAATGTGATTTTTGTAGTCTTTAAAGGACAGCTGGAGAAACGAAGGTCGGGCGTAGAGGCTAGAATATTTGCAGTGAACCCTTCTCCTTTGATCTGGCAATACAGATAAACAACTGAAGTGCTTCATCACGATTCAAAATCCAAAAATGTGAGGATTAGCACTGGATTTTGATGATGTTTCCTAGAGGAGAACAGCAGAAGTGGTATTCCATCATCCGCATGATGCGAGCTAGCTTAGCTCTGAATATACTTTTGCGCTATCCAAATTTCTGAGTCCTGTCCTGTAACATTCAACATGTACGTACATGTAGGTACACCTTCTGTGATACATTGAACAGAGTTTATACTCTAGCATTAGGAAGCACCTACATGTATGTATCTCGAGCTATGCATGGACGTTATCAGCAGAATTCTCCCCTTTCATGCTCTGCAAATCACTCGATAAGCTGCATACGACGCCAAGACACCGCGAACCCCGGTTTTGAAACTGCGTCTCGGCTCCTTCCCTATGCCAAGCGAGTATTGATATACGCGTCATCCAGAATTTTAAATTCCCGGAATACTATGCGATCGATGGGGAACTCATAGTCAACTCTAGATCATAGATACATGTAGGTAAATTACATCTACCTCATGTATGTAGACCAGATCGCCAGCTACAAACTAAATCAAATCAATAGAAGAAGAACATGAGCCCCATTACGTGTCGTGACAGAGACCCTGATAAGATATAGGTACATTACACGTATGTTCACACATGTACGTACTTTCTTTCTCATTTGTCGTCCAACTCATTTAGCCTAGGGGAATTCGAAAATAAGAAGGAAGGGATCCCAAGAAGGAACCTTTCCTCCTCTTATCCAATGTCCGACCTGATCCCAGATCTCAATGTCATAAAGCCAGATACTGGTAGGTGGGAGTTAATATATGAATAATTAACAGAATTCTCAGGTACTCCTGGTTCTTTTTCGCTCATGCCCTAGTACGATCTTGCCACATTTCAATATCCTGTGTACTTCATGTAGGTACGTACTTGTAAGATAAGCCACTGTACTTTATTTTTTCACCCTTGTCAAGCAGAGAACACTCTAGAGCGCTTCTTTGCAGACAGAAATCTGATACGGGGCTATCCGTACCTTCCCCATTCGTAATCATCAATGGACAACCTTTTTTTTCTTTTTTCTAACCTCCTGATAGACATCACATCCCACCCCGGACGAGGAGAAGGATGACATGTGCCCAGGCCAACCCGCCTACCACAATTTCCAGTGAAGAATCTAGAATCTCAGAACTCATTCACGGACTTGACGGCAGAACATTGGCATTTAACTCATTCATAAAAGAGTTCCGGAAGTTACCCCGTTGACACTCTTTTTTTTTTTTTCAAAAGCTTGTCCGAATCTGGAGCACGGTCCAAGTGGTATGGTACTGACTCAACCTGTAACACGATCTGTTAGCATGCATGCAAGGGCCGGTTTTAAATTGGACCGTACAGAATGCATTCAGTAATTGTTTCTCGGCTAACAAATGCTTGGATGTCATTATATATGTATTTTGACAATACGAGACAGTTCCATCCGAGTTTATATTGAGGGCTACATCATGTTTAAGGCGATCAAACAGCGCTCATGAAACGTTTTTGTGATCAGTATCAAGTATTACAATACTGCTCCAATATCTAAACCAGAACAATTCCCGGTAAACAAGTTCAAAACCCATCAGCGCGGTACCAACGCCCCCAGTTCCGTTGAAAGTAATCATAATATTGGTGCCGTAGAGTACCTACATACATATATGCTGCAGCCGAGTCGCCCCCATGCACTAATAATTGAACGTTCAAGCCTTAGAGTTTCTCAATATCGCAATTACGGACTCACCACCGCTTTTAATTCATCTGGCGGCTTCCTTGATTCGTCATTATAGAATTTAATTGTTTTTCCTATACTCGCACTTTGGGATGGTTACTACATGCATGGTTTACTGAAGGAACACTCATCACGGCCGGTACCGTCGCCGTCGAACCCTAGAACGAAGAACACAAGGCTTTATATACGCGCCGAAGTACCTAGTGATCGCCACTACTCATGATGTATTGCATTCTAGAAAGAATTTCCAACGGTTCTCTGTAAGACCGGTTGGCCTAATTGAGGTGCTACTAGTACTATCACTCTAGGAATTTACATAAGAGACGATCGATATTTTATTTATTACATCAGGGGTGGACTATAGATATCAAATCTCATAGCTTAAGCTTATATAAGCTTTGCTAGCTATAGCTACATGTATAGATATGTATATCTAACTGCTTCATATTTTAGACGACAGCCACCAGCTGCTTTCGGATATCTGGAATTTCAGGTAGGCATACATGCATATATCATTGGTTTGACGTATTCAAGAAACAATCTTCACACTCAAAAGTATATACGTGCATGTTGCGTGTTCGAAAATAGGTTGTGGTAGTTGGAAAAACGTATTTCTGTAGTACGTCGGCCCGGATCCCTTGTACGTCGACATATACATGTAGCTACCAATGATCTAACTTCAGATCTAGAAGTATAGAGAAACACCTCCGGTTTAGGCATATAATCTAGCCTGTGCTACCTGTGAGTATAAACCACATTGGAGAACTCGAAGATTATGTTAATTGCAGTACTTACATATCGCTTTCTCTTTTCGCCAGCCAAATTTTAGAATTCATATAGCGTTATATTTGTATATAAGTATGTACATACTTACTTTGCATATTAGTATCTGATTGGATATTGCACTTCCTATACTAAATACTACATAACGTTTTAAATTTCTTTCGTGCATGTACAGATGACAAACTCAATCCCCCAAAGAGCCAACCACCAGCGCAACGGGTAATCTCCATGGCCAACCTTATTGTGGGGGCTAGCAACCTCACCATAAATATACCAATGCTTCCGGGCTGCATGCTAGTACGATGCGTTAGCTTGCTCGTGCATATACATCCCGCTATACAAACCGTTTAATTGATTTAAACCGGGTCTGGATTCCATTTAATATTTGACATTTCCGAACAAAAACGGGCCCGCATACTCATACCTACTGGGCCTTGATTAGCTTTAGAATTGATAGTAGAGCCAATGCAATATGCAGAAGTACTGTGCCTGATGAAACAGATGCCTGCACTTTGGAGTACATATGTACTGCAGCTGTACTGTAGATCTACCGATTGCTCACCATATTGCTGCAGCTAATCCATAATGGAGATGGTACAAATGTAGTGATAAAGTGGCGTGATGATAGACGATACCCCTTAGTTTACGCCATGGCTTTGTGCAGCTTCGTTATTGATCCTTGGGATCGATCTCTCAATTGGGTGAAACAAAATCCCACTTTTCGGTACGTTAATTGTGCATGATTGGAGAAAAGGCCTTGTATGAGGATAGGATGGTTGTCCCGGCCCACGCATGCATTTGGGTTCCAGGTTGACTTGATTCGATGGAGCTGGAGCATTCGATCAGTACTAGCGAGTTGAATCCCCCACATTAACGAATCGAATGCCGGGAAACAAAGTATGGTACCGAAAATATCTCCGGCCGGGTCTAATATAGTTTGCATTTTTTATTCCAAACTTAATCGCATTGGGCGTTTCTCTTAACAGATCATCTAATCAATCTCAGGCCATCTGATTACGAGTACAAATGACTACATGTATATATGTATATAAATCACTTTCTTTTAGGGTGCTCAACAAGCTGGCGCTAGCTATAGCTGTCATAACATGATACAGGCGATCTCTAAATAATATCACATCACTACCTGAGCCAATATAACTAGGCTTACTAGTAGATGACTATATATATCGTAAACACTTTCTCTCATTCCATATTAGTAGATCAATGATAAGAATATTCTTCTTACACAAAAGAAGTCCGCGGCCGCCGGCTTCTTATCTTTCTGGATCATCTTCCGCTGATCGTGGACGGACCAGACTACAAATTTGTACCAGATCATAGAGAAATATGTATCCGGTGTTTCAAGAAGATCGTTCGGCCTTTCCGTCACAAACTCGCGATTTGATTTGCAATATGCCTACTTTGAGCGCCTGTGTCCTACTAAGGGGCTCACCTGTGCCACTGATCTGCTGCGTATGCAGGGACAAGCAATTTATGACAGCTGTGATCACCGATCTTAAAATGTTAACTGAAACGAGACTATTAGAAGTCGATAATGCCCGGCCCGCGCTCTCTCTGGGTATCAACCTCACGGCGGTTCGGTCCCCGGGATAATATAGAGTATTGGACTTCGATCCGCGCCAAGCGCCACTGTATACACGGGTTTTGAGGTACAATACTCCAAATCCACTCTATGCGCTCGGTAGAATACTTCAGACACATAGAGATGTATATGGTGAGTCGGGGTCTTGAAGGCCTAGACTTGAGGCTTGTATGCGCGTGTAATGACTGAATAATGGATACTATAGTACCTATAGTACATACCCGTGTAGCTTATCTATATAATCTACATAGCGCTAGCAGGTAGCTCTACTAGAGTATATCTGCTTTAATACTGCATAAGTACATGTAAGTACGTACCTGTACCTACATATACTTTCCAGTGGGATTATAAACGTCTACACGTATGTGAATATGATAAGGAGTCGGCTGCTGACCAATTAAAATCAACATTGGTATGTTTTCCTCTCTCCCCCTCTTTTTTTGTTTCTTCATCCGAACCCTTGTTCGTTAACAGGCAGCTTTCTTAATACTTGTAGTGAACGTTTGCAGTTTTACTGGGATGTGTTGACTTTATCCTGTATCTTGGCATGCCACGGATCTCTAGTGCCGTATCTGCTTACTACACAAACGTGTTTACATGTACCGACATTTATAGAAAGGGCACCCTTCCTTCTCTACATCTCTTCAATCTATCAGATGATATGATGTGTATGGGCCATAAGTGCGGTGCTGATTTGTTTGAACAGTTTCAACGGTCGAATTCAAGTATCTACATGTATACATTGTATGCACCTTGCCAAGTCTTCTACTAAATGAATTAATTCAGTCAGTTAGTCTGCCAAGTCTCTCACCGTAGACGTGAAAGGCGAGTGATCTTTCGTGAAGGTGAGTACGAGTTCTTTCCTCGTGCTCAACCTAAAAGCAAACACGTGGCATTTTTAGCCTTACAAGCGAGGAATTAGAGCTGTACCGTAAACTAGCATCTCGTTACATGTAGTACATGTACCTCTTGTATGCATCCACATACCATATACCAAGACATTGAAACTAATTTGCTTAACTACGTAACTGACGAGCGGTCATGAGGACTTGACATAAGCCACATCTGACATGTATCTATTTCACCTCTCTCCCCCAGCAACATCTCTTTTTGAAGAATCAGCAAATTCATCGAATCAAGTTGAATACATCCCGCGTTGAGATACCACAACGCCTACTACACCAGGCATCAGACAAACCGAATGGTCTCGATACTGAAATCATCAACGCACATATTCTAGGTTGACATTATAGTACCCCTGCATTGTGAACGGGCCGTTCTGGTAAATTATAAGACGAAAAAGAAAGTTGAGGAAGCGATCCTGGTGGTGGTGGTGGTTCGAACTGTCCCTGTTAAGTACTTACCGAGGAGTGTCTCCATAAATTTCAAAATTTCTTATCAGGCACAGCCAAAAAAAAATCAATATAGGGTCTGCATGGAACTTGATAATATATTTCTATCTCCGACTACGAGTGGAGCAATCCTATGCGATGACTGATGGAGGTACAAGACAGTCATTCTTATAAACATCATGGTGGGTTCTCGCGGTCTTAGACAAGGCTTTAGTGGTGCATCCCTAGAAACTGACTGGGACCGGGTTCACACCTTTTTTTACATGCAGGTCTCCTGGAACGACTAATAACAGCAACTTATTACTGCTAGCTGTCTTTCGACCCGTATTTAGAATCGCCGAATAAATATGTTTAATATCATGAGTGGCAAAAGAATTCAATCAGAATAACCTCCGTGGAAAAGGGAGGTAAACACTTTGACCTGGCCATGGGGACAAGCCCAAAACGCTGAAAGAGCGGCTCTCCAAGTCAGACATGGCTGACTGACTCATGGGAACGAATGTGCTCACCCAAAAAATAAAAGTTGTCCCTCGGCTCATAAAACGAGACACATACATGTATCGATCTACATATAGTCAGCTGGAGACTTAGATACTAATAGCTCTGACGATCGTGAACTTCTTTTTTGCACGAAAAATAATTCTGGGTCAGCAAACTGATAAATACATTTCTCACCATTGTAAAGTACATGTATTCTTAACGTCAGGAGCTCGTATTCATCCCTGAGTAAAGAGTGCAGTTTAGGCTTCACGTGACAGCTAATGACGCACTATGTCTTGGCAAGCCTCGGTCCATGCTTCGATATCTAATCCATCTCTAGCTCTCCAATCCGAGTGGCCCACGATAATTAATAACCTCGAGGGAAACGCGATTTCACCCGTAGGTCTTCGGAATGTTATTACATACGGTCCGAAGGATGCCATTTTCTAACGTCAGCTCCCTCTGCATCATATGAATCCTGCTTTCTGTGTCTCTGTTCTGCCTTAGATACGAAGGGACGCCCTCTGTTGAATTATCCACCACCGTGCACCAGGCCCATTAAAAAAAAAACAACACACATCGCCGGTTTGAAGATGTCTACCATTGTACGACGCCCGGCTGTAGTCAAGTCTCATCTGCCTGATATCGGCCGCTGTTTATATGGGAGTCCTAGCATCCAGAGCCCCCGGCATCAGAAAAGGAGTTTCAGCATTGAATCACTCAATGCAACAAAAGGAGGTGTGCACATATCATGTGCAAAGAATTTTCTCCGATCTAATTAGCTGACATCTGCACAGACCGAGAAAGGGTCCTAATCCTCGGCTCCGGCTGGGGCGGATTTGGCCTTGCCAATAAGCTCTCACTAAAGGACTACCAACCCCTCATAATCACCCCGCGCACCTACTTTGTATTTACGCCACTTCTGGCCTCAACTGCCGTCGGAACCCTCGAGTTCCGTACTGCGATGGAGTCATCCCGTTCTCGGGATGGCGTGGAGGTGGTGCGTGGGTGGGCGGAGAGCATTGATTTTGCCAAAAAGGCGGTTACGGTCGAGGGCGCGCTTGAGAAGCGCCGCTCAAACAATTCTCCTGACGGGGAGGGTCAAGAGGGTACTTTGGTAGGAGGCGGGGGGAATTCGAGGTTCGAAGTTCCGTTTGATAAAGTTGTGATCGGTGTTGGAGCTTATAGCCAGACATTTGGAGTGCCGGGGGTCAAGGAGCATGCCTTCTTCCTGAAAGATGTTGCGGATGCGAGGAAAATTAGGAAGAGAGTTTTGGAATGTTTGTAGCTCCACCCATTCTGTGAGGGAAATCGAGCTAATATATTGCATATCCAGGTTTCGAGGAGGCCTCATTACCAACCGCCTCAGAAGAACGGAAAAAACAGCTCCTCAACTTTGCAGTAATCGGCGGCGGTCGTATGTAAATCCTCTCCCGCTTCCAAGGTCTCCTCTACTCACAATCAGCCCGCCCCCCCCACTTGTAGCAACTGGCGTTGAATTCTCGGCCGAGCTTCACGACCTGGTCACAGACGACCTCTCCCGCCTGTATCCCTCCCTTGCTTCATACCCAAAAATCACAATCTACGATGTCGCCCCTCGTATCCTCTCCATGTTTGACGGCAACCTCACCAACTACGCCGAACGGCACTTTCACCGTCAAGGAATCCAGATTAAAACGTCACATCACGTCCTTGCCGTCGAAGACGGCGCCATAATCACAAAGGAAGAAGGCCGTATCCCCGTCGGAGGTGTAGTCTGGAATACTGGCTTGGCACCGAACCCATTCATCGCGCAAGGGCTGAAGGGCAAATTCCGCCTGGCCGCAGAGGATGGTGAATGGGGTGTCGAGAAAGACGAGAAAGCGGGGAGAGTGGTCGTCGATAGCTATCTGCGGGTAAAGGTCAAGCACGAGGAGACGGCGCAGGTCAAGCCGCTGGAAGACGTGTTTGCGATTGGAGACTGTGCGTGGCTGGAGGGGAAGGATCTGCCTGCGACGGCGCAGGTTGCGAACCAGCAGGCGGTGTGGTTGGGGAGGACGCTGAACAAGGCGGCGAAGAAGAATAGGAAGGAGCTAGGGGCGCCGGTCAGAGTGGTGGGCGAGCCGGAGTTCAAGTATAGGAGTCTTGGCGTGATGGCGTATCTTGGGAGCTGGAAAGCAATTACACAGACCGACAAGGGTGATGTGAAAGGGTATATTATCTCTGGTCCTGTGTGTAACTAGAGATTGACTGACTAACAACGGGTAGGCGCCTGGCATGGCTGATGTGGAGAACGGCATATTTCACAAAGAGTGTTAGCTGGAGGAACAAGATTCTCATACCTGTATATTGGTAATGACTTCCTCTCCTAACACACCATTGCGCGTGCTGACAACGTTGTACAGGTTCACGAACTGGATCCTGGGGCGGGACATCAATAGATTCTAGACGCATCACTTGCATTAGATTTCGGAGTATCGGCGTGGGTTCGTTATTCGCTATATTCATGGCGTTGTAGTATAGATAGCACAGCTTTTCGGTGTACATTATTCAAATAAACATCTCTTATCCATAAACACGTGTATACAGGGGCGCTTGAGGAGGATAGAGATTCTGTATTGATTACAGCACGATAAAACACCCCCTATACACAGATTCAACGCTCCAGGCCTCTGAAAGACAACCGCGTCAGATCTCCTATTTATGCCGAGTGACATCTCATGATCAATAGCAACCAAACCACACATTAATTAATTGATCAATCTATCACATAAAACCACACATCGACCAGCTGATCAATACACGCATAAATTCGAGGTCCTCAAAAACCCAACCGCCAAAAACACCCAAAATGTACCCCAAAAAGGACAAACCAGAGAAGCGCGTTCGATCTCCGATAGCGCCTCAAAGAGCGCAATGCGGGGGTCGAACCCGCGACCCTGTGATTGCCACGCTGCCATACTGGAGGAGTATACGGCGTAAAAGTCGCAAGCTCTACCACCGAGCTAACCGGGCTGGGGGTGGGAAGGGGTGGTGGGGTGGTGGTGGTGGGGATTTGGCGGGCGTGGGAGGATGCGGGTAGTGGGTGAGGGAGTGTTTGCAAGAGTGTGCAGTGTTGATGGGGATGGTGGGTTTTATGTTGTTGGGTAGTTTAAGGGTATTAAGGTTATCAAGGTACCCGGGTTTGGATCTTTGTTGGTGTTGTCGACGTGCATTGCTGTGCCTTTTACGTGCTTTTTTCGCATGTATGTATGATAAGTCGTACAATTATTAGAGGCTTTCAGTTGACGCGAATTGTTCATTTTTTCAAAGTGAAAGGGGATTGAGCTCATGCAGCTAATGTTGCGTCTGGTGCTTCTGTGGATGACATGTCGCTTTCTGGTAAATACATGTACTCAATGCGAAATCTCCTGTCAGAGAGTATTTCTCTGTTTGTCGGTGCATGTAGTTCCATGCGTTTAGGACAGACCTTTGGCTGCGGGAGTTTCCTTTTCGCTTTAGAGGCAATACGTATGAAGTATCAACCGAAACCCTCTAGTGGCTTGCTGTGATTAGGCGTGTTAGGGCGGTGTTCGTTCTTGGAGAAAAGGACAATGGTTATCCCCGCTGTAAGGTGGGGTCTTAGGAATGGTGTCCACAGTCGAGCCTACCGTGTTATCGTTCACCTCCTTTGTGAGAGAACCATCTGTCATATTTCCTATTGAGCCTTAAGATCTTCCTACACCCGCTTTCCGAAATAATCCTGGGAAGTACATGGGGTGTGCGTCTAACTTGCATCGTTCGCGGTGTGTGCGGTCGTCGTCTTCAGGTGCCACTAACACTGCGAGCTACTGTGGTGCTACGCTAGGACTGAACATCGGCCCGATCACCGAATATCACTCGTGCCAGTCGGATACCCACCGCACATGTACATGTATGTACATATCGCGGAACACACACGCACTCCCCATGCAGACAAGCCCCAAGTGCCGTGCGGCTTTGACAGCCGTCGTCTCTCGTCTCTCGCCCCTCGCCCCTCGCCCCTCGCCTCTCGCCTCTCGCGCCCCCCACGCTGTGCCATCAAAGCTTAATCGAGCCCCACTCTTGGCAGGAACGTCATGACATAATCCGCAATCTCTCACACGCAATTGCAGACTGATGACTGACGATTCCACAACACGCACCCGACAATGGCGCCCTTGCTGACGACGCTCGCCCGCCGCTGTGCGCAAAGCCGTCGCACGGGGACTGCAGCACACCGATTGCCGGGAGTAATACGGTTGTCTTCACCGCTGAGTCTGAGTCTGAGTCTGAGTCTGAGTCTGAGTCTGAGGAGTGGGAGAGCGAGGCCGTACACCACGGCGAGAGAAGACCTGTATCCCGCCGGCGCCGCGGAGGAGGGCGCATCGACGGGCGAGTTCCAGCTCGAGTTCAAGAAGGCCTACAAGACGCGGCACAAGGAGCGCCACCAGCACGAGAGGGAGCCGAACGAGGCCACCGACGGGCCCGAGTCGAGATGGATCATCACCGCCGGCCTCGAGATCCACGCCCAGCTCAACACGAGGCGGAAGCTGTTCTCTGGTCTGTCTGCCCTCAGCATCATCGGAAAGGGTGGAAGAAGAAGAACGGAGGCGTGCTGACCGGGTCGCTGCAGATGCCCGCACAACGCACACCGCCCCGCCGAACACACACATCGCCCCGCTCGACGCATCCCTCCCGGGCACCCTCCCCATCTTCAACCCCGCCGTGCTGCTCCCGGCCCTCCGCGCCGCCGTCGCGCTCAAATGCACAGTGCCCCCCGAGTCCCGCTTCGACCGCAAGCACTACTTCTACTGGGACCAGCCGGCCGGCTACCAGCTCACGCAGTTCCACGCGCCGCTGGCAGTCGACGGCCACCTCCTCCTCTTCGCGCACGACGGCGTCGCCCCCGCGCTCCACGGCGTCACGCACGACGACTGCGTCCGCATCGACATCCAGCAGATCCAGCTCGAGCAGGACACCGGCAAGACGCTCGCCAGCCCGCCAAACAGCCTGGTCGACCTGAACCGCGTGGGCTCCCCCCTCGTCGAGATCATCACCCGCCCGTTCGACTGCCCCGACGCCGCCTTCCCCGCCCTCGTCATGAAGAAGATCCAGAGCGCGCTCAAGGCCGTCGACGCCTGCACAATCGGCATGGAGTGGGGCGGCCTCCGCGCCGACGTCAACGTCAGCGTGCGCCGCCGCACACCCGAGGGCACGCCGCAGGCGTACGGCCAGCGCTGCGAGATCAAGAACGTCGCCAGCCTCAAGGCCGTGCAGGAGGCCGTCGAGAGCGAGGCGAAGCGCCAGATCGCGCTGCTGGAGGCCGGCGCAGTGGTCGAAGGCGAGACCCGCGGCTGGGACGCCGAGAAGGGCGTCACCCGCAGACTCCGTGGGAAGGAGGGCGAGGTGGACTACAGATTCATGCCGGACCCGGACCTGCCCCCCGTGCAGGTGAGCGAGGCGCTGCTCGAGAAGGTGAAGCAGACGATCCCGCTGCTGCCGGACCAGCTGCTGGCGCAGCTTACGGGCGCGCCGCATCATCTGAAGGAGAAGGACGCGAAGACGCTTATGCTGTGGGATGAGTATCGCGCGTCGGCGAGTGAGGCGGGTGTGGTGTTCTATTACAAGGACACGGTGCGGCGGCTGCTGGATATGGTGTTGAGGGAGGGGTATGAGAAGGCCGAGATCAAGAGGTGGAATAAGGCGCAGTGGTGGAGCGAGCTGGAGAAGGAGCGGAAGAAGATGTTGCCCGAGGAGGAGTTTGGCGCCGTCGCGGGCAACTGGATGGTGCATGAGCTGGGCGGCGGGCTTACCAAGGAGGGCATTGCGTGGAGGGAGAATCCGGTGTCGAGTAAGCAGCTGGCGGAGCTGGTGCTATTTGTGGTCATGAGGAAAATCACCGGTATGCCTTCTTATCCCCCCCCCCCTTCTCCCTCTAGTAAGTGCGCAATTAACTAACCACCCCCCGCCAACACAGGCTCAACGGCCAAATCCCTCCTAACACGCCTCATCACCGCCCCCTCCGCGGACCCGCACTTCATCCGGTCCACCGTCGCCGCCGAAAGCCTCGCCGTCGTCGCCGTCCCCGAAGCACAGATCCTCGATATCGCCGAAGACATCATGCTGCCTGAGAGCAACGTGCTCGAGGAGCTACGCGGCGGGAAGGCGATCCCGAAGCGCCAGAAGAGACTCAAGAGCTGGTTTGTCGGAAAGATTATGGCGCAGCTGAAGGGCAGGGTGGATCCTGGGGCGGTGGCGGCGGCGGTGGAGAGGGTGCTGAGGGAGGGGAAGAGGGTTAAGGGGGGGGAGGCGAGGGGGGTGGAGGGGGTGTAGAGGGTCATGGGGTGTCACTCGGGTTGGGGTTTGGGGGCTTTTTTTTTTGTAGATATTGGGTACTACATGTATGCACATATTGACTGGTACTGTCTAGGGCTAGACATTGTGGTATGTAGTCGTCTGTCCATAACCTTTGCTTCACGGCTCTATTCGTGACTATCATAGGTATTTTCCACATCGTGTACTTATCCCACGCACCTTTCCTAATGCCGTCCATCTACCACCACCCTAAATCTACATGTAAGCAATAACACCCAAACCCTAACCCACTCCACCCTAAATCCGCGCCGCCTCCACAACCATACCTACCCACCCCGCAAATAAATCCACCCTAAATCCAAACCTTAACCCACGACACCCCCCAAACCCGCCCCCCAAGACCACCTACCTACCTTACACCGCCTTCCCTACGTGACACCCACCTTCCCTACACTCCCACCCAAAAAACACGCTCCAGCACGTAATTTCGCAAAGGACCGCCAAGCATCGTGGCTTGCCAAGGCGGCGTGTGGATTTAGAGTATGCATGTAGAGGCAGGGAGGAAGGGTAAGGGGGGAGGTGCTATGGCGTGCTTTGATGCGGTCCGGGGATATATGGGGTTGGTATTGGGAGGAGGGATGGATTGGGGTGGGCGGATGGGTATGGATGAGTGGGTTATGGATATGTGTGCATGGTATCTCACTCGATAGTAGTGGTGGTAGCGCTGGGTGGAGGTAGGGTTGGCTGGACGATCGATGGATGGGTAGGTACGAGTGAGTCATGGTGCGTGATACACGACGGGCGTGTAGCAAACAAATACCAGCTTGGCTAGTACTCTACTCGTGATCTGATCAGTTTCATTTGTAGGTATCATACTTTTATTTCTATTATTCCTATATTACATGCCACACCTCCAGCTCCCTCCTAAAGGGGGATTCGAAGTGTGCTCCCTCCTGTATTCAAAACACCAGAAGAACAGAAAAAAAAGGTAAAAAAAAGCAAAAGAAAACACCAACTCAAGAAAAAAAAAAAAAAAAAAAAGGTATCCCTCCCCCCTCCCCAGTATATATTACAGCCCAAAGAATTACGCCCAGGAGCCAGTTATGGAGTCCAGGCTCGAAATATTGTCTATTATTAAAAACTTCCTAGATCCTACATACATAAACCACTCCCCCATCCCCTCATCTCCTTGCTTCTGCACCAGCTCTACATCGCCCCCGCCACAACAACACCCCAAACCGCCGCCGCGACAAGACTCCCCATGCCTACCACGCTCCTGCTGAAGGCAGCCGCGCCCGTGGCAACGGGGCTGCTGCCGCCGCCCTTGACTTTGATGGTCATGTTGTAGTTCATGCCGCTGTCGGGGTTTGCGCAGCTGGAGTTGTAGCAGGGGGTGTCCATGCCGAGGTGGGCGCCGGCGGTTTCGGTGGGTTGTGTGTAGACGAAGGTGTGTGATGGTGTGGATGTTGCTGATGCTGTTGAGCTGGAGGAGGAGGAGGAGGAAGAGGAGGAAGAGGAGGAGGAGGAGCTGGAGGATTGTGAGGCGGAGGAGGAAGATGAGGATGACGGTGAGGGTGAGGCGGAGGCAGAGGGTGACGCTGAAATGGTGCTGGAGCTGAGCGGATACGAGATTGTTGTGAACGACGAGGATGCCGCGGCGGTGGAGCTCGAGTAGGGCACGTAGGGCGATACGAAGTTGAATGTCCGTGTGGTCGAAGTAGAGCTAGAGCCCGGCACTGGCGCAGTCGTCGGGCTCGCCGGGGTGGAACTAGTAGTGATCGGCACCGGCGTTGTTCCGCTACTATTAGCACTACTAGCGATAATAGTAGGCAAAATAGTAGGGATGGTAATAGGAATAGTAAGAGTAGGCAACAACGACGACACCACCGACCCAATCACCGTCTCGACACTGCCTAGCGCCGTCGAAACCACGCCGCCGACTGCACTGCTAATCCCGGTACCGTAGATTATTGTCACCACGGCCGTGGGGTTCGCCAGTACGCTTGTGGCCCCGCCCACGACTCCAGGAACAATACTGACAACAGCATCCCCGGGCGGAAGGCCTACGGAAACTACAGCGTTATTTGGTGGCCCGTCTACGAGAACATTGACTCCCAGTGGCTCTGTCCCGTCTTTGAGAAATGGAATCCCGCGGCGGTGGACATGTCGGTTGTGGTGTCGCCCATGCACGGTTGATAGAGCTCCGAGGAGGGTGAGAAGATGGAAGATCCGCATTTTTTTTTATTTATTCTTTTATTGGTCAATCTATTGGGGTGCTGCTTGGTTCGGTATGTTTTATTCCAATTGGCGGGTTTTTCTCGGAGGCAATGGGTTGGTGTTATGAACTCGGCATCAATGGTATGAGTGCAAAAAAATGTCGAGACTCCAGGCCCGAGAGGTATGTAGGAGAGGGAAAAAAAATCGAATCCTGAAAATCATATCAGTCAATACTCCAGTCAAAAGCCCCTCGAGGGGTTTTAGACATATTTTGTTAGGGTGTAATAAAGAGGGACCATACTGCACTCAGCACAAGACAAGACAGGCAAACAAAAAAGAATGGACACAGAACCTGAATCTGTACGTAACGAATGTAAGTAGCGTAGAAGCCCGAAGCTGCAGCTGGGGAAGAGGAAGAGAAGGAAGGAAGAGAGGAAGAGGGGGGGGTGAAGAAGAAAGAAAAGACCCGCCAAAGAAAAGAAAAAGCAAATCCACACACGAACCACCACCAGCCAGTTAGGTATCTAGCCTGCCATGCAAGGTGGAAGTTGTTTAATCACAATCACACGATGGTCCGCTGTCGCTGTCCACTCGATGCATGACCCGACACAACGGTCGCTGCAGGGGTAAGGCAAGTTACACCCGGGTAGGTGGGTTGTCATTAGTTGGAAGGAGCGAGAGCTGTGATTGCAACGCCTTGGGTGGCCGTGGGTTATATGGAGATTTATTAAGACAAGGGTGCACTGACAAAGTAATTGTAAGCCCAATACGAGGACCGTGGTTAAATATCAGAGTCTGGGGATTCAGGCGAAGCTTCTACTCGTGGATGGGAGATTTTACAATCTCGGTGAAGCTAAATTATGAGAATCTGGAGTTCGCCTCTGAGTTTTCTTTTGAGGTTCAATTTCTGCCTTCTTCTCCTTTGACCAATGAATAATTGAGATCATAATTACTCTGTAATATTGTACAGTTTTAAGGATTACCGTGGAAGTTCCGCTGGCAAGAATTCTGAACCTTAGAAATAATTATAATGCTACATGCAGTGTGCCTAGCACTTACGTACAGCTTGCAGCGCATGTAGTCAGAGCAACCTACGTCTCAAGGGTACTCTATATACATGTAGGTATATACATGTACCTTACGTATACCCGAATGTACCGTGTATGCATTGAAGTACAAGTATGTAGTACCACCGGAACAACCTCTTTTTCTCACAGGAGTCAGTGGAGCGGCGAATGTGCCGAAGATCATTCTACCACCGGTAACATAAAAGGCTTCAGCGGCACTCGCGAGAGAGTCTTCGGTTTTCGCCGGTGGTGGATTGCGTACTACCGGTGGCGCTCGGTCTATTGCCGGTAAAGTTTACTGCGCCGTTCTTGAGAGAACGACTGGCTGGCCATTAGAAGATACAATTCTCAGATCCGGGAATTGGCATGAGTTTGGAGGTACTCACTTTCTATGTCTTCACTGTTTTTGCGGTAAATAACGAAGCATGAAATCTACCATATCACCAGCTGCAGGATGGTCGCTTCAATCACCGAAGATAATTGGTTAGCATAAGAGTCAAACAGATAAGCCAGAACAACCGTGATACAAATGCGCTACAACGGATGCATGAGGCAACTCAGAGATAAAAGTATATTACGACACCGAAACACACGCGGCAAACGAGAAGAAAACGCTACGAAACGATCTCGAACGATATGACTTTCTAGACGGGGACTCGGTAAATTTGTCTGTATTATCAATTATATTAAAGCAGCCAAAACTTACGTATAGCAAGCAGTACGTGAAGAGTTTGATAGTATGAGGGCATATCTACTACTGAGCGAAGCTAAGATACATACAAGATCTAGAGTCGGACACAAAAGCAAGTGGATCCTCGATCTCAACAACAACGTTCTTTTAACTGCAGCTGGCAGATTTTCATCGTTTTGGGTGAACCCTGTACGATGCGACCAGCTAGGATCCAAGAGGCTGCTTCTTTAGCTGAATAGAAATCAGTTACAAGGTTCGAAAAGCTTAGGAGGTGAGCCTATTTAATAACAATCTAGGCCTTAGGATTCCACATCATCTATCTATCTTCTTATTTGTTCGTTAATTTATTCCTATTTATCTCTCTTCCTCCTTCCTTCCTTCTTTCCTTCATTCTTTCCTTTATTCTTTCCTTCCTACCGTCAGGTACGGAGTTCGGCCCTGAACGATCTGATTGACTGATTACTCACCTCCACTTCTCAGCTCCGAATGTTCACATGCCCCGAGCGAGCGGACTGCACAGACATCGAACGACCCTTCCGTGGTTGTTCCGGATAGATTACTTCCCTTGGGGCCTCGCTAACATGCAACCCAAATCCTCACGGAATTCGAACATACGGCATATGCACAGCCTCAGAGTAACATACAAGGTAACCTTATTGTTGCCTGGGTAGTTTATCCGCGGCCCTATCCTTCTGGCGCGACTACATGTAGTGTTCATTGAAATTTATAACTGGGCAGCTGAACTAACAGTATGCAGCTGCAGTGTCTTGGTTCTAGTGGTATAGCGGTTATGGATGATAATGCTATATGTGGTGAGAAACGTACTGTTGAGGATGGTGGATAGGAAGGAAGCCTTCGGAAGGTCTCTAAGGTGTTTAAAGCTTACCTACCTACTTGTTCTGGCGCATATGCAATTAGATACTACTTGCCGCACGCGGTGAATGAATTGTGAAGCTATATAGCACTCATTAGAGTAGAGTACATTGATATTAAATTTTAGTCCCACAGGCCAGCTAACAGAGTACAATGAAGTCTCGAGATTTAAGCAGCGTAACATATGCTCAGATAGTGTAAAGTAGAAAAGCTGTAGCAATCGTGGGGAGTCTGAAGAGGAAAGTGTGAGGTGAGACTCCCAGCTCATACCCTATTTTTCGGCTTACGCCATATCACTAACTGTGCAGCAGCCATGCTAATGCAATCAATATCCAAACGAAACGAAGGGGTAAGGCGTTGAGAGTTTGCTAGCTAGGTTCCTGGCCAATGATTGGCTATGTAGTTTGGTACTCGCCAAAACAGTGCCTGCATGGAATCCAATCAGGCAACAGATTGATATATGTACGCGCCAAGTTGGCCTGCAGTAGAATACAACATATCTCAGTCCAAGTTTGTTGTTTAGCGCTTTTGTTATAACGTCGCCCGTTCGACCGGCATGAGGTAAAAAACCCGCAATATGGATCAAAAAGCAAAGGGTGAAGTGTCGAGATAAATCGGGCTACGTTTCATTCGCGACTAAGAATGGCATGTTGAGATGTCTTGCGAAGTTGAGCGTTGTCTTTAAGCACGAAGCTTGGGCAAAAGTTCAGTGGACGATGATTGGTGGAATATTGTGAAGATGTTCATATTTCGCTTTTATATATTTTTTGTTGGAATGATGGGTGTCAAGCCTTTGGGCCGTTATCGTTGCTATTAACTCACTAATTTTATAAAGCGTTTGGACTTACATGTAGTATTGAGGTTCTTCCAGTTTATCCAACTACTGTATTATCCGATTTTCACAAGTCTTTATATTAGGAAATAGGCATTAGGGGAATCAATAGAATCAGGTCAAAGGATTTTATCCTATTATTTTATCACAAAAACTGTATCGTGGCGGGTTTGTACGAGGTTTTCAACTACACACGAGGGGCTTTATTCTTGAAGAAGTGTAGGTGCGTATGAACAAGTTGTCTTAAGACACCACCATAAGAAGGCTGTATAGATGGCAGACACACGCAACTGTGGATATACGTTATATATTAGGTTTGAAATTTTGGGGGTTGTGGAGAGAAAGACAATAAAAACATGTGTATGTAAATTATGTACTTTACATATATGACTACATTTCCTGGGTATACACTTAATTCATTCACCATCACAACTATGCAAAGCTGTGCTTCTGTTCTTCCTGCGCAGATGGAAGAAATATTCTCCGCAAGAGTGATATGGAGTGACCAAAAAAAAAAAAAACATAGCTATAACTCCACAACCAATTAATATCTCAGCATATCTCGTTAAACTTACCATTAACGACTTTGTACAGGTCCCTTATCTCTTCTATCCACTCATCGATATAACCCCACTCTCCTCCGCCATCAGGACTGCCACACCGTAGTTTCCTTATCAATTTTGCCTTTAGTTTGTCGACACACATGCTTGTAGTTTCGAGATCTTGGCGGATGGCTTCAAATCGAGCTTTGAGCGAGTTACGGATGGCAGAGATGTAGGTGAACGCTATCCGAGAACTTTCTGTATCGTCCTCATCTATTTCTGAAGAGGAGACTGAAGGTGTTCTTGACCCTGATACTGAGTGAGAAGGCGTAGATCTTGGCGTGTGAGTTTGAATGAAAACCGAAAGGGTTGCGAGGCTCTCTTTAACGCTCTCAAGAGAGTTTTCGAGCTTGTATAGTTTGAGATGAAGCTCTATAACTTTCGGAGATGACATCGATGGAGTTTCAGTTATTGATTGGTTGGTATCTGGATTGCTATGATGAGGACTGCGGAGGTTTAGACGAGGAGAAGGGTATTATACGTGGTTCATAAGTTTAATCGAGGAGATGATTACCTCAATCCCACGGGTTGTCAACATAGTGTAGAAACGAGGCTCGATTTGGTCGTTAGCGGCATCATTTATGTCGTAATAATTAATTCGGGATAGTGATGGGGTTAGTGGTTGATTTCAACACAGCGGTAACGATTTATTTGTGTCTAGGGGTATTCTAACAAAGATACATGTCACACAGTTCTCCATCGAAGATACGCATGCAAATGAATAAGGAATCACCGAGCCTATGAATGGATGCCCTTTGACAAAGAACACTATATAATAAAACGATGACAATGTACCCTGACGTTTGCTCTACACATTGGCAATATAAATTATTTTTGTGATCACAAGGCGAGACATCTAGGAATCTCGTGGAATTGAGATCCTTTATATTTATCACAACGACCTCTAACTTTGCTATATAACATGAATCACAGAATATCACTCATCATTCTTAAGCGTACTCAAATAAGCAGGACAAGATCACTCCCTGGTAGGTCCATTCTTCTTGGGGGGAACCTACATGCTTATGTTCACCGCAAATCAGCCCGCAAATAAAGAATAAGCCATATGATTATTTTTGGAGAATTGGGCCGACTCTGTAGCTTGCACTAGGGGTGAAGAAATGAAGATTAAGGAACCCGAATTCTTGGATTTAGGTTATTTTATTTCTATGCCGTTTTGTCGTTTCTGGAGCTATAATTCGTCGCCAGATCCACAGGTACCGACCATAAAACTCCACCAAATCCAATGCCGACAAACGATGAGATGAGCATGCCGGAACGGATGCTTCTTCTCTACATAGCTGCAGGTTTCGGACTCGTACGGGATCATGTCTTCTGTGTAGTGGAGCAAAGCCTACAGAAGGATAAAGAGAACTGGATAACTACGCCTCCTGAGGCTGCGCACTGCTGCTCATGACCTTCTGTCTCAGGACTACCACCCAGAATCTGTCAGTAATCGATTCCTCCATTGCATCGGCGGCAACAAATACGCACCATCTTCAACGATCCGTACGTTCTGGCTTTTTTGTGACACAATCTTTTCCAGATCAGTCAGGTTTTTCGTTAAATTTTCAACTTTGCCGTTGTAAAATTTCTCGGCATCGGCAGCAGATTTTTCAACGTAATATCCAGTACCAATATCGACGAGAACATTCTCAGTATCTGCTAAGGTGCCCGGGACGTAGAGGGAGTTTGTGAGTGGTACAAGAATCGTTTTGCCTATCACGTTCGCGATGTTAGTATTAGGGCCTCAACTTGCCCCGGAAAGCGAAAAGGACAAACCAGGTCTTAGGCCAGTCTTGACGGTGTTGATGCATTCTTTAAATTTATTCTGAGCTTGCCTGAGCTTCTGGAACGACTGGGTAAGGTGTTCTAGCTCCTCGTCGAGCTGTTTTTTGACGGCAGAAAGGTTGTCGACGGACAAGGTGTTTAAGTCGACTATGTCATGATAGCTCGATTAGTATCTGTGAATTGGGTCTTAGAGAGTGATAAGGGTGGAGAGAAGAGCGCGTACTCTGCTGCGACTGAGGTCCTTTTGATTCTTTGGATGCCATTGTGATGAGGGGTTGTTCGCTTTCGCTATTTCACCCACCATTAGCAATTGGTAAGACAGTGGGGCTTGCTTTTGGAGGCCGGGTAATGATAGCTGTTTGGCCAGGGCGAGGGTTAGGGTTTTACATAGAGGCTTTGAATAACGATTGGCTCGGCGGGATACTAGAACTAGCCTTTTCTAGTTTTGGAACGGTAGAGGGAACTCAAGATAATATGTACATGTAGTTGATGAATCACAGATGAATTTCTGTAGTTACATGTATATTTACTTACGAGGGGTCAAATTGCAAATCTACATATATCTTATCGTCTCCTCGGCGTTTTGCTTGTTGAATCTGTTTTAATGACTCTTTATACAAACTTATCGGCGGTTGGCTAGTCTTCAATTTCAGTGTTTACTATAGGTGCCTACTTTGATCGCTCGTGGTTGTTGTCCTAGAGGCCTAGAGTTCAGCCAGATGAAGAGAGTAATTTCGAGTGATATGTCGTGTAAAGGCAATAGCCGACCACGTGATTCATGATGCAAGGTCACGTCACGTTAGGCAACGCGTCTTCTCCCTTACAACCCCACACCTCTTCCACGATACAGCATTGTCGTTCCACACATGTCAAGTCTGAAGTTTGTTTTAAGTGCTTCTGCTGCACAGAGAGTTCATGACATTCTGTCGTGCTTGTCAAAATTCTCTGAATACGTCTGCCTTGAGGCTCGGCGCAACCGCTTCACACTTTCAGCCCTGAACTCAACAAAATCAGCTTATGGCGGTATTTCTTTGTCAAGTGGAGAGTTTTTTGAGTCTTACAGTTTTGAGGCCACAGGAAGTAATGAATCGACTGAACCTCCAAGATTTACCTGCCGGCTCTACTCCAAGGTTACTCATTGCCTTGATTCCGAGCAAGACGAAGGAAGATACTAATACGAGCAGTCCTAGGCGTTGCTCGCTGCGTTCAGGCAGCGTTATTCCGACTCAAAGGGTAGCTCAGCTATAGACAGATGTGAGGTCAGCTTTGAAGATGATCCTTCACGACCAGAATGCCGGATACTCGTTCAGCTTGTATGCGGACATGGTGTCTTAAAAACCTATAAACTTACTTATGAAGAAGTGGAGGTGATGGCACCCGTGTTTGATAAGGGGCAGGCGCCCAACCGGTGGACTGTGCAAGCTAGGCTTATGAAGGAATATATGGAGCATTTCGGGCCAAAAGCAGAGGGATTAGATATTACGAGCAACAATGGAAGGGCGGTATTCACTAGCTTTACTGAAAAGGTTACGGATGGGAAAGGTAATGTACCTAACAAACACTAAACGAAGATGTTTGGGCTGATAGAATTAGAGATTTTGAAGCTTCCCATGCATACGAGTATTGCACTAGATACATCTGGTTTTGATGATTGGTCAGCAGAGGATAAAGTGAATGTAGCGATCAGCTTGAAAGATATGAAGGTTGGTATACGAAGCCCAGAAAATCATGTAGAGACCAATGATAAACAATAATAATTCTTTTTAGGCTATAATAATGCACGCAGCATCCCTAAATACAACCATATCAACTTTTTATAGCGAAGCCGGCCGTCCATTTCAAGTCACTTATGATCACGAAGGGATGAGATGTCAATTCACCCTGATGACCATGACTCAAGTCAGCAACTCCCAAACATTTGCAGCCATTACACGAGTCGATAACCACCCTACCCCTGGTCTTACGCCCCGTCATATTCCTGGTCCCGCCCCCAGATCATCTGCTCCTTTATTTCGAGCCGCAGCTTCTCAACGTGATTCTACTCAAAGCCAGCAAGCAATTCACGGGGATTACGAGGAATCCTATAGACCTCAGACACAACCTGTTCGGACTCAGCTTCAGGCAAACAGGTCGACACAACGTATACTACCACGCCAGCCATCACCACAAGCTATCTCTCAGGTTCTCCCAAGCCAACATGTACCGCAGGGATTATTCTTACCTTACGATACCGAGGACGAAGATAGCGATGATGATGATTTGGGAAAGGGCCTTGAAGAATGGGAACCAAGGCTGCGGTGGGATTCAGGCTGTAATGATAATCCCATGCCGAGTATCTCAGTTGTGAGGGATCAAATTGCGCCAGGCATCAGAGTGGACGAAAGAGGAGACGGAAAAGAGAGTGAAAAAGAGGAAGAGGAAGAGGACATAGGCCCAATGGTAGGACCAACTCAACAAGTTTCACAGGTATGGTAGCACTTATCCTTACTAGTTTCCTCTTTCGTTTGTTGAAAGCTTGTTGACTTGTAAAGGCGAGGGGACTTTTCGATTTCTGAAAATAGTTGAACCTTATTGAATTTCTATCCAGAGTCGACAGGACACAATTTTTTCTGTTTTCGAAGAAATTAATAACACTAGATTTATGAGAGATATCATCTTTGTTACTTGCCCTAAGAACAGCTACCCATCATACCTCCATTGATGAGCTCTCATAACGAAGTCCCATCCTTCCGTGGTAGTCAAGGTAACTCCGATTTCCCATCCATCTTTCTCCATAGCTGTGATTCTGTCTGCATCTTCCTGAAGAATCTCGATCCTACGCTCAATCCTTTTCAGCCAATCACACAATATCCCGAGCTCATCGCCTGTGTCCCTATCGAATTGAGCACACCCACAGAAGGCATCCCCAAACTTGAGTTTCAGAGACTCCATTTGATTGGTTATAGACTTGAGTGATTTATGGGCCAAAAACATTAAATTTTGAGCGTTGATAGACATTTCGCTGGTGAGAATGATTCGACAACGGATAGGAGTGCTGTGTCCACCAACCAGGCGGTCTTCTCCTACAAATGCGGTATCGGTATCGGAAGTGATGATGTAGTGCTCTGGACGTGAAGGTAGAGAGGAGGTGATGACCCGCTGTTTTCCGATCACAAAAAAGCTATATTTTTCCAATCTGTGTTTGAACGATCGGGTTCTTTCATCCACTTTCTGGATGTGATTATCAAGATGCGCTAGATCAAGGTGACTATAATCTCGAGATAGATCGTTCGAAGTCATTCTGAAAGGGGCTGAGTGAGTGTATCTTGGGGGGACGATACGTATAGAGGATGAGGAGCGGTATTTGAGGGGAGCGGGATGATAGAGCTCCGAGGATGGATGGATATGAAATGGAGATGAAGGCAAAAGGTATACTTGATAGGGTTTGTGGTGGAAGCTCTGTAGTGAAGTAGGGATCCGGGTGAGCGAGAGGGTGCTAAGGAACAATGCATGCATGCGCTAGTAAAAAATATATATCGGAGTACATGTACATGTAGGCTTAAGGAATTATTACATGTACATGTATGTATATCCCATGTTCGTCAAGTTCAACATTGTAAGGGGACAATCACCTTGGACGTCTTTTATGTACGAGCTTTCAATAATACATGTAGTAAGAGAGAAGCTCACAAGCCTATATGTACATACCTAATCAAAATGTCAACAATCATCAACACCAACAACGATAAACTTGTGAGCCAAGACATTCAGATCTCTAAGGATCAAATTTTAATTCCTTTTTGCGTCCTCGCTAATAGTGTATACGTATCGTTGTCAATAGGAGAACTGAGTGATGAAAACCTATCTGGTCATAGAATATCACTCTTTTGTGGATGCTGGATATTGGTATTTACTATGCCGTAGGAACTTACTCATAACTCTTGCTAGATCGTGGTCAGGCACAAATAATTCTAAAACGGAGAATAGATTCCAATTATCTATCATCAGGTAACTGAATGCAAAGGCACATTTTAGAAACGGAAATTGAAACTCGTAATCAGGAAATCTATATGCTTTGTATGATTTTATCCTCTAGTTATAGCGTTTTTTTTTTTTGATCTAATCTAATCTATAATAGTGAGTGCTGTCTGTAATTGAACATATCGACTTCCGCTAGAGTGTGGGATAGAATACATGTGGTGAAGGCCATGGCCTAGCCATTGAGTTCATATACTGTCTTTTGATGGAAGGATGTGCACAGCGGTTCTTCCTCTATACATGTAGCTATTTTGGAACTTTTGGAATGAATTTAGACACTAGAACTCTATGGGGGAGCTTGTATTACTAAATTTTTGCTATCTATATATGTATGTACCTTTTAGGAGAAGATAGATAGAATCTGTAATAGTAGATATCAGAGGGCAAATTTATTCAACTAAGCCGGAAAGAGAAAGCAACGATCTACAAGAAGCCGCAGAGAATCTGGGTTACAAGGACGAAGAACTTCAGGTCTATGTACTTGCCCGATTTTTAAGGAAGGGTGAGTGGCAACCGTTAGACTCGCAACCCCAACCTCAATGATGGGCCCGCACCTGATACAACACCTCAACGCCGAGCAAGTATCATAACCATGCGTACGTTGTTCTGGAGGAAAATACCCGTATATTGGTAACAATAATTATTTCGTTGCGTTGGGCTTCATTGAGTTGGGTTTTTTTTTTTTTTTTTTATATCAGTGTTTCATTTATTTCTGGGTACAAGAATATCGCATGAAGCCTAGGCTATGGCATGAACAACACCCCTCCCCGACCTTACCACCGAAAGAAAGTAAACAAAGCGAAGATATAAACATGAAGCAATAACTGAAAAGAAATCCTGACATTCCCTCCGCAGAAAAGCAAACTTAGAAATTCGGTCGTCCCGTTCCTCAGGCCTTATACTTTCACACCAGCTACCCAATTTTATCTCAAGAGATAGGAAAAACAGAGAGGAACAATTTGGTTGTAATGGTTGTAGTGTTTGTGTAACGGCAGCTATGTATTTCGGCTAGGTAATAGATTGGTACGAGATGAGAAGGTATTGTGCAGTGGGATTAGGATTTGTAAAGGGGATTTCTGTTATGTTCTTTTAGTTTCTGTTACGCGGAGGTATTAGTCATCATTGGACTATGGTTGCATATATAAGGGGGTGTTGCTTCGTGCTTTTACTTGTTTTCTCTTCTTCCTTCTTTCTTTACGCAACCTCTGTATTCTACCCGCTCGCCTCTGGCTCGCGGTAGGATTTCTTCCCCCGAGATGGAGTTATACTGATTCTCGAATTGCTTCGGTCCCTGAACTTCCCTCGCTCGACACCCCCCATTCTTTGCTCGTTCGGTGCCCTCACGGGTCGCGTCCACCGTTCACCCCTCGCCAAACCAGCGGCTACTCTCGAAAGCCGCCTTCGCCCCTCCTTACTTTCACTCATCGCACGAGTGATCCCACACGTTGGGTACGCACACTGTCAGTAATCTCCAGTCAGCGAGAACCTACTGCCAAAGCGCTCGACAGCCCGCGAAGTTAGCGACCTCTCGGTCGCGAAACTATCGTCAAATTTTTTACCCGAGGTCCCGTGACCTTACCCCTCTTTATCGGCCTTAACCAGGCAACCCTTTTTACCCGAAGCGGCCCGCTCCCCTCACCCCAACCCAACCGGTCTCCGAGACCACCCTCAACACAATACGGTCGGCACTTTCGATTGCGACCCCCATACATACTGAGCCTTCGGCTCAACCCTTTTTGCATGTCCCCTCCAGAGGACACCACTTCAAACACGACTCGGGCACAGTCTTTAGCCGCTGCTCCAGGGACCGACGACCCCACCCACTCCTTACTTGACCTACCGGTCACCACTCTTTACTTCCTCGCTGTTTGACAAGCAGATGCTCGAGGACCAATACTCAACCCACCCCCCCTCGCTTTCACCCCTGACGCTGTTGCGGTTGGCTTTTCCTGCCTTTGTGCGCGTGGTTTCCCAGTCCTGTTAAGGTTCGTCCACAGATATGACACCGGGAACGTTGGTAATGATATCGTTTCGATTGAACACTACGTATAGGATTGTGCTCGCTAATGTAGTTGACGGAGAAGTTTGGGGTTTTATTCTTACTACGGGGAGGTTTCTTTGTTGTCGCTTAGATCCTGCTTACCTGTACCACTTGTTATTCGCGCCCTCTTCGTGCGCTGTTTTGTTTTATTATGTACGCGGTTCTTGTAGCTGCGGTAGTTAGTTTTGTACTTCGTTTTTGCTTTCGGGTTAGTTGGTGGAGGTTGTAGTCGGGTAGTTAGGTGTGCGATAAGCTTCGGCTTCTATGCAATATAAGATTCTCTCTCTCTCTCTGTATTCTACTCGCTCGCCTCCAGCTCGCGAAGAACTCCCTGACAATTAACCTCGCTTCAAAAACATTTTATTTTACTCCTCTCGGTTTACTCTGGTATACCATACCAGGCTGAGCCACTTCGTCCCCGATCGTACGGTCGCGTTTTGTTGTTCCAAGCGAAAGAAACACCACGAAAACTGGCTTCTAGCGAAGAACTCTCCAGCCTTGACCTCCCGAAAGGAAGGAAAAGAAATCTATCCGAAACATCACTCTACGCCGCCAGAAGAACTGCACACTCAGTCATGTCGCAGCAAGCTTCGCTTCAGTCCTTCTTTACCCAGTCTTCCCAGCAAGGGACAGCCCCTCCGCAGAACAGGAACACTCCGGTTCCCGACCCAACCCCATCCGGAGCTCAGGAACAGGAATTCTCCTCGACCTTTGCAACAGAATCCGGCTACAACGACCCATACCAACCGAGAATTGACTACCTCTACCCGAGCATTGTCCCCCAGGACACCCACACCCAGACGGACCTGAACTATATTACCTGGGCCATTAGACATGCCACCAGCCGGATCTGCCCCCCCACCGACAGGATTGAAATCCTCGAAGAACAAACGACCACACTCCGGAGAACAGTGGATACACTGAGGCACCAAATCGAGGCGCAGACAACCATGATCACCAGTATGCACTCGGCAATCCATCTTCTCCTCAACAAACAACCACAACCGCAGGAACCGCAACAACCACAACAAAACCAACAACAGCAACAACAGCAACAACAGCGAAAACAACAACCGCAGGGAAAGAGAATGCCCCCTCCAGCAGTCCCACAAACAGCTCACCAAGCAGCGCCACAGGCAGCTCCTCAGGCCCCCCCACCCACACCCCCCCAACAAGCCCCACCTCGTGAATGGAAGGCAGGCACCTGGGCCGCCGTGGCCTCGGCACCCGGTCCTGCCCAAGGAAACTTCCAGGTCATCGAGAGGAAAAAGAAGTCCGCAAAGCCAAAAGCGGACCCCCTCTTCAAACCAGAATACACCAAAATCAACAGGGAGATCATTGTTGAAACTACTGCCCCATCCGACGTTAACCCCTCCGAGATCAGGACACTCGTTAATGCAAGAATCCAAGACGAGTC